GTAGGGAAAATATTACCTGTTTAAAAGGAACTTTATACTATTTTTTACGATTTTGAGCAAGTATTCCTTTTAAATTTGATATCTACTTTTAAATGTTTGTTTCTAAATAAAATGTGTTACATGTGTTTGTAGAGATTTGTCTATATAGGCAAAATCTGTGCTAAGCTGGAATTAAAGGATATTTATATATTAATAAAAATTTTACAAATAAAAAGAGTATCTCAGAGATAAAGCTGAGTGTCTGCAAACATGTATTAAATGGAACAGTGATGTAACTGAAAGTACAAAAAGTACTTACAATTTTCATTTGTAAGGACAACTTGGACCCAGTGTTGGCCTAAGTAATTTATAAAAACAAACACAATATGTACCATTATCAGATTTGTGGAGTACCTCCCCAAGGCAGGAAGAATTGATCCAGGAAATGTGGCCAGCATTTGCCTCTCAAAATTAGTATTTAATGGAATGCTTATACTCATGTCTCAAAACCCTTAGCCAGGTTCCTTGATCAGTAGCTGGTTAGGAAGCATCAGCCTTTTTAAAACATACCAAAATGTTACCTTTATGTCTGTAGTAGAAAACTGAAAAAGTTAATACTAAATAGAAAAAATTTTAAGACACGGACTCTTACAAAATAAGATGAATTATACTGTTACTTTTTAGCAGAGGCAGATCATGTATTATTCTGTTTAAAACCCCAACCCCTTTGCATTCATCTTCCCAACATACTCTGGATTTAAGGACTGTAAGTTTTCCAAAGCACTGGAAACAATCATTTAAAGAAAACATCAGATCTCCCACATATATGATAATGCAGAGAAAATACTTTCCCTAAGATATCAAACCATCTAGTGATAAACAATGCCAGAACCAAGTAATAAACTCCTCTAACTGAAGTTTCCTAAATATCTTGGAAAGAAAGTGCCAAGAGCATTGTAACAGCATATTCAATGTCCTGTGATTTTTAATCTTTCAGTGTCACGTTAAGAGCTAGAAAGGGGTTTCAGCTCTCTTGTCTCAACTTTCTAAAAGTCCTCTCATCCTTGTAAAGGCATTTTAAGTTAGTGAGATTAGGCTCACAAATGTGACCATAATTCAATCAGGTAAGGAAGCTAAGGTGGTAACCCTTTAACAGATTTCGGTATAATAGATTATGAAGGTGAATTCTACACATATGACATACAAAAAAAATTACCTAATTTATAAATTTACAAAACCTATAAGTTAAACCAACTAAAAATTTCTCAATTTCACCATCAGAACATCTTTTCTAGCACAAACTCTAAAACTGCTGACTTGATTTTACTAATACTGATTTTGCTAATAACAGAGGAGAAAAATTACTTCATCTGCCTTGACATAAAATGAAAACCTCTAAATTCCCTAAGCCCTCTTTTATTCATTAAGAGTCTAAAGAATTCTGAATCACTCTGACCCAATGACAATGACAGAGAGCATCACATTTATTTTCCTAATTTCTTTAGAATTTTCAAAAATTTTAAGACATACAAAATAACACCAGGATTTTGCCTGCATTCTATTTGATTCTACTTATAGTTTTGTTTTTCCTACCTGAGTTATGAATAGTTAGAAGTTCTTTTGAAAGTCAATTGGAAGTTTCTGTATTGGCCCTTGAATGACAGTGCTTCATGACACATGAGTTTATCAACTGATTTCTCTCAGCTTAGAAAATTCTATGACCTGTTCTGTGACCTTTCCTAACTTTCAAAGTGCTACAATCACTAGCATGCTGCCTGGCACTTACTTGAAAGGATAAATGAATCCATGCTAACAATAAATTGCCTGTGAAAACATGAACTATTTCAACGATGCATTACAGTTTTATTTGAAGACGCTTTAAGCAGCAATTAAAGCTCTAATTCAAAAATTGACAGTTCTAGCAATGCAAGTAGATGTTTTCTACAAAGGGATATATTCCTACATGGCACAATTTACTACTTACCTGGTGGCTGCCTCACTTCACTGGCATCAATTTTAAGTCTCATCCAGATTTCAAAAGTATTAAAATCTGAAAAATCCTAAAATTCCAGTATTAAATTTTAGTGACTTCACAACGTAAATCTAAGAGTGAGCAAGGAGGCAAGGAATAACAGAAAACTGACTGTACATCTTTAAAGATAAACTTACCAAGCTAAGAACCAACAGCCCAATCACTAACATCACACAAAAGAATATTAATAATGTGACACATCTGAACAAATCCTGCATTTCATGTTTTGGAGGTACACATTACACTGCAATGGTCTTTAACCTTGCCTGTATACTAGAATACGCTAGAAAACTTTTGATCTTGATGCAAAGAATCAGAGTACCTAGGGATTGGCCTGGGTATTTCTCTTTAAAGCTCCCCAGGTAATTTTTAAAGTGCTGCCAGGGTTGGGAATCAGGGCGATACTACAGCAGGCCTAGTGCTGCTACCATTCTCCAACACAAATAATACTGTCTTTAAATTAGCCAACAATCATCCTTTACAACAGTAGTATAAAAGAAACCCTCATTTATGAATATTCTCATTAATTTTTTCCTTATACAGACTTTGGCTGGTATGTGGTCTTTACCAACTCTAACCAAACTAATGAGTTAACAAAAGATGTGGGTTCTGGTCCTGGATGGGTTCCTATGTGATCCTATTCTAGTTACTCCCACCAGCTGAGCCTGTGTCGTTGCCTATGCAACACTGGTGTGGTGTTAGGTCTCTCGACTCTTTTCTGGCACCGTATCTTCATAACCAAAATGTTTAACAAGTTAAAAGCACTTCCAAATTTATCCATCTTAGTTCTAATATTTCTGACTGTTAGCAACAGCAAGAGGAACTGTGCTGTTCTATGAAGGTATTTCCTCATCAGGAACAATATTCAAAGTCAGTGTGAATAGCATGAGATGCTGATGAAATGCCAAAGCAACACAATTTTTCAGGCTTGATGCTACTGTAGCAACAGACATATTCATGGGAAAATGCACTTGGTTTGATAAGTATCATAACTGCATTATCAATTTGAAAAGTTAATGAGCTGTGTGGTCTTAGATAAGTTATTTACCTTACTCTGTGCTTTTGCCTCCTCTATTACAAAATGGTCATAATAATAGTACCTAGTTTCATAGGGTTGTGAAAACTAAAATGGATAATGCATTTAAAGCATTTAACAAATGCCTTGAAAACATTTGCTCAATACTTTTTAAAGGTCTTTTTTTCCAGGAACCTGAAGTTATAGAGCCAAATCTACAAATCAAGAAAAACAAAGGAATTTAAAACAGTTATTTCATGTCTATTATCCACTAAGGGAAAGGACTAGGATATGTCTTTCACATCAGATGGTTTTTGGATGAAGCAATTCTGCACAACATGGTAGAACTCCCTGGCAATGTCCAACATCCTCTAGCTTAACATTTGTTCTTTCACAACTCAATGAATACAATATATGATACATTCCAGCAGATTCTAATTCAACTAGCATTTAATAGGTGGATGAAATAGACTAGCCACCAACCCTGTAGGTTATTATTTCCAAGCTGCAGAAACATTAAAATGAACATAGACAAGAATAGCATATGCAAGGGCCTTTTTTTTACCTCACAGGTCTGCAAAAAAGTAACATTTATACTCCTAAAAACAAGCAGTTCAAAATCTGCAGAAGCCACAAATTGAAGCAATCAGCTCTATATAAAACAGCTAGAAATTTAGCTAGCAATAGAAAATCTGAAAAGTGTTCTCCATTTTTTTTTTAAGAAAACACTTTATCCCTGTGCCTCATTTATTTCGTAATGAAGTTTGCACCTTTTCATCTCCCTCACCTATTTCACCCCTCCTGCCCCTCCCTCCCCTCTGACCACCATCTACTGGGTTGTTTTCTGTATCTGTGAGGCTGTTTCCATTTTGTTATGTTTGTTCACTTGTTTTGCTTTTTAGACTCCACATTTAAGTAAAATCATACACTATTTGTCTTTCTCTGACTTATTTCACTTAGCATGATACCCTCTAGGGCTAGCTATCCCAGTTGTCACAGAGGAATCCACTCTTAAACAAAAAAGGTGATACTCCAAGAAGTGTCATGATATATGCAATTCACTTTCAAGTATACAGCAAAACAACTTGAAGAATGAAAGTATGCAACACAGATGGACAACAAACAGAAAAAGCAAACATGACAAAACAAATTATTATCTGATAAACACTTGACAAAACTGTTCATTGTTGAGTCTAGATGGAAGGTATATGGCTGTTCTTTGCACTATTTTTTCAGCTTTTCTGTATGTTGAAAATTCTTATGATGAAAAAATGTGGACGTTTATACATGTTCTAAGCTTATTCAGTATAACAGAAATAAGTATCTTCCTCCCTCAAATAAATATTAAATATATTTCAGTAATAATCGTATTTTATTTGAGGTATAAAACCAATCAACCGTTGAGATATACACAGAATTAACTGATATAACAGAAGCTCCTGAATATAATAGGAAGGGCTTCTAAAATTACTTCTTTTCAGGCTGAATTTATTCCATGAATCCATTAACGTATCTAAACCTTGCAGATACAGTTAAAGTTAGTCAACAAGGTGAGGAAAGTTAGTTCTTGGCGTTTCCTTTTTTTACAGGAAGTTGACCTGTAGCTTCCAAATACTTATTGATAAGGTCTTCTTGTGTAGCTGGTAAACATGGCTGATATCTGCAGTACTCCATTGTATATTCTCCCTTCCCCTGGGGGTTTAACACAAAAACAGAAACAAAAAGCAGATTTTTTTTTTTTTAAACAACTATCAAGTAAAGTCATGAAAAGACAAGATTTCACAAAAATGATGATTTTGCAGGATGGTCTCTTGAAGAACAAGGAAGTAAAATTTAAACACTTGCTTACCTCTGTGCATGACCTAAGTTCAGTAGAATAACCAAACATTTCATTTAGAGGGACCTGAAAACATACACAGTAGATATTTCAGCATTGCTTACTGAAAAATATTTGAGAAAAATACAGAGAAGACTTAGTCATTTAACTCCTTTAGACTCAGGTTTCTACTAACTACTCCTGGTTTAAAAGAATTAAAAGCCAAAGAGAAACCTGTTTTTGTTTTACCACAGTAGAAACCCTATTTGAAAATAATTTCATTTGACAGACACAACTAGAAACCCAATCTTTCAGTTTCACGGAGCGGACGGACACCACTAACAGCCGTCCCTCTCATCCCTACTCCACGCAGCTGCAGCTCAAGCACTCACAAGTGTTTCTTCTGTGAAAATGTGAATACAACTTTCCCTTGGACTCCAATGATAGGCCATAAGCCAAGAGTAGTGTCTTCTAAGAGGCCTTAGGTAACGTGATAAACCCTTTCTCCCATGAGATTTAAGTAAGGGACAGGCAAGGGAATTAATATTATCCCAATAAATTAGAACATAATAAAACGGCTATGCAAACAAAGCTATAATGAGAAAGGTAATTATGCATCTAAGAAAATGACATACTCACAAAAGGCCTACCTGAAATGAATCTTATTTTTAGATTTTGCACTTAAAGAGATACTCTAACAGCAAAGTACAGAAATTGCCACATACATATAAGCTACAAATTCAATACTCAGCCATGGAAATGTGCCAATCTGCACTACAATTTCCAAAAACAAAAGCTAACTCTGATTTCCTCTTGTGGATAATAAAAGCAAGGTTGTCAGTGACTAACAGTACTTACATCTGCATATAGTGTAAAATAGTCCTCAATTCCATCTTGTCCCGTGATTACTCCATGGCGCCGGTTAATTCCTGCAATCACTGGCCCCTGAAATTCATTTGGAGCTACAACTTCCACAGACATAATAGGTTCAAGAATACATAATGTGGCATTTGCCAGGGCTAGGGTTTGAAAAAAAAATAAATTGGTTTATTAATCTTTAAACAAACTGGAACTCTTTCCTATCCACATATACAAAAGGGAAATAGAAAGTGCTCTCCCAAAGATACACACATAAATGATAAGGTTAAAATATGTGATCTGGACTCAGTTTTCTAGTAACAGCAGCAGTCACTCTTCTAAATGGAACTTACAGTAAGACAACACTTAATTCTAATATTAGTATGTCCATTACCATATTTTTATCCTAAAAATCATTAGGTTGCAGGAATAATATAAAAGGGTCTTAAAACAACATTCGATCAAGTCCCTTCCCATTTAAATTATGCAGTTGAGGGTTACTAATTCTTTCTGAAATCCTTCGGGAATAAAGACACTATCTGTTAAGTCTCTGACCAAGGTAAGTCAATTATTTCTTGTTGGTCCCTGGCAGACAGTTATTTATACTTGGAGACAATAATCAAGTCACGCCTGAAATATGTCTAGGCTAAACAATTTCAATACCCGATTGAAAATTAGAAAACCAAGTTTCTAGTTTCTGCTCTGCCTCTAATAAGTTATATGCCTTTTGGAAAAACACAATCTGTCCAGGTCATGTCTCTTCACCTACAAAATAAAGACATCGGCCTAGATGCTAAGGGCCATTTAAGCACTAAACCCCAATGTTTTTTATGTGTGTTTTTTTTAAATTAAAAAAACTTATTTTTTTAATCCCACTTAGTACATAACAAGAACACTTCTTACTGTGACAAATGCCGACTGAGGTTGAAAATGTAACAATGCGGAGAGAATATAAAAAAACTTCGAACACTCATATTTAATTTGGACATTATTCCATTATGTGGAATAATACTTCAGCCTCAGACTGGATGAATTATCTTTAAATAAAGACTTTAAGCATAACATGAAAAGGTGACAAAGAAAATGTTTTGTTTTAAAATAATCATAATTTTCCAAGCATCGGTTTGTTTCTAATAATCTAGTCAGCAATTATTCTTGTATATTCATTAAAGCACTTGTTCTAAAGACACTATTAGTTTAAGTGCAATAATTATAAGGACAGCCATTTAATATACTTGCATTTCTTTGAAATGTTTTCTAATTCAAATCCTACCTTAGTTCAGACCTAACTTTGACTCATTACTCCTAATTAGTGAATTTTGTTCTGAAAAGAGGAATAACTGAACTCTGCAGACTCCCAAGTTTCATTAGCTAAGCCTGCAGAATTCTATGTAGACAGCTAAAGCAGCAGACTAAAAATTCTAGCCTGCAGAAGAAGCTCTATCTCTTGTTAACTTCTTGGGTTCCCACAACAGCAGAGCTTCCTTGGCTCTAAATAAATGTAATTAATGCAGAAGAAGGTACCCGGAAAGAGAGATGTGAACAGACATATTAAATTTAGTTACACATTATCTACTGTTTTCAATAGGTCAGTAATATAAAAGAGCTAGAGTGTGAGACAGTCATATTCTCAAGAGAAAGAAGGGGCCAAGTATATAGTGTACAGTATATAATTGTTGAGGACGACCCGTCCAGTTCTCGGTTTCATATTCCCTCACCCTGCTCCTTTCAACTCCCTCTTTCTTCCTAAATCCACCTTCTGATTCACCTCGCCCTTATTCATGCTTTTCTCTGTCCCATTCCATATGACAAGATACCAGAGCTAAATTCATCCTGCCATTTTTTAATAGTCACATGGCAGCCAAGCCCTACAAGCAATTTTTCCGGAAGTAGAATAAAAAGCAAGTGAAAATACCCACACCATCACAGGACCTTTTAAGCCAAAGTGGTGCGTAGAGATGGTAATGTTTCTATTTCAGTCCCCTAGGGATAAAGTTGATAACACCAGGCTGGGTGCTAACAAGGTTGTGTGAGGAGGTAGTCAAGGGCTAGGCTCTGGTCTGGGTTTAACTCTCAGCTCCACCACTAACTAACATGTAACCTTGGGCCATTTGATTGACTACTCGAGTCTCAATTTTCTCAACTATAAGGCCACTGTTGAAGATAAGATATGATAATTCATGTACTCAACATAATACACAGCACAAAAGTGATCAACAAGTGTTACTATGACCACTCTGAGGCCAAAAGCTGGCAAATGGGTGGCACTGCACAGTGCTAGGTCAAAGGTAATGTGAAGGGAAGAGGGATTAGCCTTCACTGTGCCCAAATATGTGTGTGCAAGTGTTTTCAAGTACATTCTCTTCTAATACTTTGGCATTACTATCTCCAAACAGCCTGGACTTGCCCATTTCCACAGAGTTAAGTATGAAGTAGAGCCAGCATTCAAACTCGAAGCCCAGGAGATCAGAAAAGGCACACTGCTGAGTAAAATGAGCTAACATGACCCTGGGCAGGCCTTTATTTCTCTTGTAGAGTAGCTACAAGTTCAATGTTTCTGCAGAGACCAAGCACAGCAGTCTAAAAATTGGCCATACACAATGATGGCAACGGTTAACATCCATGGGCTGAAACAGTCCCTGAAAGCACATTCAATTTCACGTTTCAGTTTTAGTTACATCACTGATTAATCTCAGGGGCAAAGTTTCCATTGTGACTGAAAATAGTTCCAGTTTTCTTTTTTTTTAATGAAAACTATGTGAGAATTTGAACTATTTTTCTTCCAATTTTGATAATAGAGAATAGCTCAAAAGTATAAGCTAATCTGATACTAAGCTCATTTATCAACATTTTCCACCCTAAAACTCTCATATGATAATCAATGGAGGTGTACGCATGCATGAAAAGCTGATTTTCTTAAGAGCCCAGCAAAAATTTCCTTTTACCCTTTTATCTTCAGTCATGGAGAAATAAGAATCAGATGATGATACAGCAAAGTAATTCATTTTTCACACTTGCAACCTGTTTATTTGCACATATTTATCTGGCAAAAACCAATACTCCTCAATTCAATTATTATCTGGTGCTTTTCCTTTGCACCCCACCGGGCAATCATCACACATAACAGTATTTGTACGCTTAAGTATTTACAAACTGAGTGGTATATACTTACCTGTTTAGTTAATATGCATAGACATACAGACTTTTTTCATGCCTATATATGTGTATGTTATGGGCATATAATCTATATTTATTTATATTTCATGTAGGTACAATTAAAAAGGTTGAGGCTCTTTGTTAATTGATTTCACCAATTACCTTGCTTTATGTAACCTCTATCCAGGAAAGCTACCAATTTCCAGTCAAGAACCAGCATAGAACAGTTGGTGATTTCTAACTTGTTTTAACTATACTTTAAAAAAGTATCACAATGTATACATTTATCAAATCATTAAGTATTTTACAGTTTTGTCAACTGCACCTCAATAAAGCTGAAAAAAAGAATATGAAGTGATTACAACCAATTTGCCAGTTTAAGATTTATTAAAGTGGTGAACCCTTAGAAGGCAAGAGGCAGGTGTTATCAGTACAAGCTGAATCATGCCTAATAAAGTCTTATTTTCTTTGTGACTTTATTTCCCTTTTTCCTATTAATACAACTGACAGACTGTGACAAGGTTTCTAGATCATAAATTTCAAATGCATTTTTAATAGCTAGCTGGCATAAAGAAAATGGAGGATTCTCTCACCCTTTCACAACTGAGAAACAAAATCACAAATTACTAATGGCTCCCATTAGTTTAATTAAAATAAGGAATTAGCAACCTGGTCAAGGAATAAGCAACCTTCTCCAGCCATTGCCCCATACCTGGTCACAGATGCAAACAGACCAAAACCAACGAAGTCCAAAATTCAAACAATAAAATCCTGATTTTCCAAATGTCTGGAAATGATGTGTTAGGATTAATTTTCTGCTGTCTATTTTGACCCTCTTTGACAAAAAATATCTCTGAAATGTTTTGTGAATCATAATGTAATTCTCTGCAAAAACCCACTTACGGACATAACTAATGAATTACCATATAACGGATATGGAAGAGATGACAAAGAGAATGAATTTTCTGGCTCCCAGTTACAACGTAAAAGCCCCCAATGTCAAACTGCTGTGCCGTCATTTGCCTTTCTCTCTTAAAAGCAATCAATCAGATATATCTGCAATTGCTTAGGGTTCTGTTTCATCAGGGTTTTAATAGACATATTATTCTATGTGGGAAAGGTTGACAATTTTAGCAGTTTAACAAGAAGTCTGCACTGAGAATAAGGTTTACTGAATTCTTTCAAATGCCTAAAAGCCTACAATGTCATATATGAAAAAGTTGTTTACAAATTTATAGATTTTTCTGACATCTGAATAAATCACTAAAAACAGGATGACTATAGTTAATGTTTCTTTAAAATAATTCTGAGCATTTCTGTCTTCTCTATTAAAAGTAGAACTTACAGATTATCTATGAATTTAAACTTACAAAAACTACCAGATAATTTAGGAGAACAAAGTAGGATTTTAATTTTGTAAGAAAGAAAACACAGTAATCTATCCTCACTTTGATTCTATGAATACTTGCCCAGAGCCTATCCATGTCCCCTGGTGTGCTGCTTACTGCTCTGGTGGGGTGGGGGGGGATGGGAAGAAAACCTAACCAACACAGTGCTGCCTTCTGCGGCTCTGATGGTCCACCAGGGAAATAGATGCACTGATGTGGCAACTGCTAGACACAGCGTACCTTGTTTAAGAGCACCTTCTCCTGCGCGGATGAAAGAGATTTCATTGGAATCCACCATGTGATATGCTCCATCTTGCAGGACAAACCGGAGCCCAGAGAGCTTGTGACCAGACAGAGGGCCCTTCTCGCAGGCATCCAAAAACCCCTGTTAATGAATGAACACAACTTCTGGAGTGAGTGGGTTTCACTCACAGAAGCATTATGAAAAACCCCCAAACGTTTTAGTATTCAGAAGTGTAACATTTTTATGTATGCTATATTTCATTCTTAAAAAAATTTTTTTTAAGTTCAACAGCCTATTTAAGTATTATTATTGTGGAATCTAGATGAGCAATCCCTTGCAAAAGTCTATTACTTAAAGGTGAGAGCTGGTTTGAAAGTGATGCCGAGAGTGCTAGCAATCACTTTCTCAACCTTCAAGAATTACTAAACTCTCATGATGCATTAGAGACAGCATGATCTTAATTTTACAAAGAGGAAACAGAGGAAAGGCAAATCTAAGGAATTCTCTAAAATAAAACTTCAGTCAAAACTGACATCTAATCAACAGCTGTGTCTTAAGCTCCTATTATTTACCTATCACTGCTCTGCCTCATTGGCAGATCACTACCTAACAGCTTTAGTGTTATACAGTGTCAGTAAGAACTAAAATTAAAAGCTAATTTCATTTTTCCAAAGCAATTCTTTTTTTTAAAAAGCAGCTTTATTGAGGTATAACTGATATACAATAAACTATACATATTTAAAGAGTACAATTTGATAAGTGTGCAATTTTTTTTTCCATTCAGTCACTTAAATACTCACAGAGCTCCTACAATTCAAGATAGTTTTTCATGGCAAGACAATCACACAGCTGCACATGTAGTACAATATATTTCTGACATTCAAAACTGTAAACTCTAAATGCTGAAAAATATCTGAGCTTTCCTTCACTTACATTAATCCTGGAGAATAAAAGATAATTTAAAAGTGTGTGAATGACAAACTATTGTCTTGATATAAAGTATAATGAATGAAACACACTAATCACAAAAAATGCTACCAAAACTAATGCTGAAGCCAAAATTATGATCTGTTAATAAAGATTTCTAAGTTAAAAGGTTAAAAAAACCTAAAAATCTCAATCTACAAGAATAGACAGTTGCTAAAGGTTTACAACAGTCTTAAAGCCTGTTGACCTAGAAAGCCAACAAATCACTAGTAACCCATTATATGTGCAAATCACTTCACAATTCCCAAAGAAATATCAGAGTCTTATCTGATCCTTGAGTTTGTGACGGGTTTGGAATTAAGTACTATATGCTCAGTTTACAAAAGAAAGTGGCTCCGAACACCATGATTTACCCAAGGGCATGTTAATCACTAGCAGAGATGAGGATAGTACCCAGGTGTTGGGAATCTTAATGAATGTACATTCTACTATATCAGTACACCTAAAACTTTCATAAACCCCTAACGCCTACTGCAAATTTCAAGTGCTGATTATAATCAATGAAGTAGTTTCAATTTATCAAGAGAAATACAATAACTATGATTAAGAAACAGAATGACTTCCCCTCATTGTCATAGCATATATTTATAGCTCTTGAACTTAATGATTCTAATCAGATGGAAAGCTTAATGAGAAAAAGAAGCAGAACTGTAATGAAAATGAACCACAGGAGACAATGTGATAGCAATGTGATTTGATACCTAACAGACTGTTTTTGATTTTTTTTTTTAATGCAATAAAGTTTTTTTTTTGTTTGTTTTTACCTTTTCTACAGCAGGGACAAATTGCTTTGGAACATTTGACCCGAATGTTTCATCTGAAAACTCCAACTTAGTGTAGTTCTCTGGGTCCAAAGGCTCCAGTACACCTATCACTTTTCCAAACTGGCCTGCACCACCTGACTGTTTTTTATGTGTAAACTCAAACCTGAAAGTAATTTAGGAAGAAGAAGAAAAAAATCAACATAGCATTATATAATCACCAAAATGAAATAACTCCTACTAATTTAAATGAAAAACCACCTCTCATCATTTTTACTTTTTCCTTCAAATACAATGGCCTTGCTATAAAAGTATTAAAGAATTTATTTAAAAAGTAATCCTGTCCTTTCTGTTCTTACTTGGAGGTGAGGGTGGGGCACACCACCAAGTAATCCATGGTTTTAATTCTGCTAATTCTGAATTTCACAAGTACAAAGTAAAAGTCAACAAATTAAAATAAAAAGTCTGTCTAAGGTTCTTATTCTATTAATAGTAATCTACATTCCAAGAGCTTACCCATTTCTTTTGGAATGCCTCCCTTCCCTGGGACACAGTGTTCTCTCCTTAAATCTCTATGAGGACAATTACCTGAAAATAGGAGCTATGTAGTTAGTTCATTGAGATAGCTGCTATTTGATTTTACAACTTGTACACTATGGACTGAGAAAATAGGAGAGAAGGGAGTTTCAGGCAGAATAACTAACACCTGAAAATGATTAATTGCAAATGATCATGATTAACATAAGTCATTCAAATAGACACACAGGTCAGTGTTTACTTGAAACTACTAATGAGAACATAAATAGGATGAAATAATCACCTTACATGCATACTAAATATATGTAAACACAGGCTACGATATCATTGAAAAAACATTTCATAAGTATCTACTGTTTGCAAGGCATTTTTCCTTTAAACTGAAACCTTCCTCAAGACCATAAGATGGAAGAAGCTGGTTGCTTTCAAAGGTGTCTGCAGATAACTGCAGGTAAATGGGCATTAATGAGTGTGTGTTCCTGCGTACAGATCTGTGAATGGTTTGGAAGAAGTAAACAGCAAATTTCAGTAGATGTCAGCTTGGAATAAGCAGTTTCCATAGAGAGCCTAAGCGTGAATGTGACTTGATGAACTGCCTTTAAATAATCTTCCAGCAGCCATGAGCTTCAGGACAGGCTGGGAAACAATGCTGAACGGTTGATTTTCCCAGGAGAGAAACAAACAGCTATCAGAACCGAGAGTAGGAAAAGGAGAAGAGAAACAACTGCCAAATCACCACAGAATTACTGAAGGGATTCCAAAACTGTGGTCCACTGACATATTTTCTAGTATGCTCAAGTTCTCTGGGACGTTTTAAATTTTGTTTTCAATTTGACAATAATATGACATACAACATACTCTAGATCTGTGCTGTCTATATGGTAATCACTAATCATGGATATTTACATTGAAATTAAATAAAATTTAAAATTCAGTTCCTCAGCTGCACTAGTCACATTACAAGTGGTCAACAGGCAGGTGTGGAGAGTGGCTACTGTCCGGGACAGCAGAGCCAAACATTTCCATCACTGCACAAACTGCTACTGGACAGCAGTGCCCTGGAGGGCCAGATCACAGCCAAGCAATCCCTGCAGTTTCAGGGACCATGGCTGCGTTTATAATCAAGTGGATGCCAAATAACAGGACACTTATGTGCCAGGCTTGTGCTAAGCACTTTTTATGAACTGTCTTACTTGTTCGTCACCACAGACCCAGGAAGTAGGCAATATTTTTTATTATTATTTTACAGGTGAGAAACCTAAGGGTCAGAAAAGCTAAGTAACTTGCCAAACGTGATATAGCTCTTAAGTGGCAGAGCCAGGATTTGTACCAAGACCAACACTCTTAATCAAACATGTTTCTAAAAGGCTAATAAGAATATAAACTGATTTAAGATGCACACGATGCATTCACTTCAAAAGCTGTTAGAAGACACTGCACAAAGAGAGATTTTACTGTAGCTTAAATAGAGAAGTGGAAGAACTAAGACATCACTTGACAAGCACTGAAGAGATATGCTGAAGGCAAAAGAATCCATGCTCCTGTGGTCAGACCACTGGAATTTTGTAAAAGACAATTTCATTTTGACAAAACATCATCATCTCTCACATTAAAATTACTGTTAATCACAATTGTGTTGGTTTTATTGTATATCTCTATTTTGTAGATTTATTTTGACTTCATAGTCTTATCAAAGTTGCAAGCCATAGGCGTTTTTACTTAAGTTTTATGTCCATACAATTATTTAAAATAATAATTTAATGTGCCCAATCCCAGAGACCCATAATAATTTTGCTACTTTCAAGGTAACTCATACATTATTCAAGTTTGCAGATAATGATCTCTTGAATTACCACTAATGAAATTTTAGTAAGATTTCAAGAACTCAAATATAGGAATAATTCTCAATGCAGTTTATTTAACATCTAAATAGGCAGTTTAAAAGTTTTAATATAATAATTATATTTTAAAAAGAACCTAAATTGGTATGTGTACTTTTAGTAAATAAATGCCTGATATGTCACAACCTCTGTTACTAGCCTTGATCTATAGAGATGGTAACTGTATCCGTAAAGCTTCAAAAGGGTGATTTCATCTAGGAAGCTCACACATTGTACTCCTCACAACTCTAACGTAATAAAACAGATGTTAACTAGCTACTTGTGAAAACTTTAAAATTTCATTATCAGCAAAAAAGCTCTTTCTGGGTAATTAGAATGTATTAGGCCACTATCAAAGGAGCACATAATTCATACAACTAACACACAAATACAACGACAACCTAAGAGGTTGGCTGATAGATGAATGACTCAGCCCCCCCCACCGCCCCCCGACCAAAAACAGAAAAACAAGCTTCAATTTTTTATAAAAAGCCTTGAGGAGAAACTAACCCTTTCATCCTCTAGTTACTTGATGGTTGTTGGCTAATATAATTAGAAAGAATGGGAATGCCTTACTACTTACTATTCTTTAAAAATCTACTTACTCCAAATACTTTATTTATAAATAAATAAAAAAGGGTATTTGAGGAAAACAACACATTACAAATACATTTTTGTTAACTTTTTTTTTACAAAAGCAACACAATATGTCTACCCAAGGAAACTTCAAAATTCGTTTTGGGAAAATAGCAAAGAGTCTTTATTTCTAAGCCAACAAGCTACAGTGTCAGTTTGGCTATACATTTGATGAAAAGAAATCTTAGCTGGTAGATCTACAGCAAATCCAAAGAACAGCCTAGACTATATTTCCTTTAAAGCTCACAGGAGGTAATTAAGAGATCTGGAGAGTAAAAATGCACTGCCTACTAAAAGTCTGTGCTTGCTTAAGGAGCTTTAAAAACTGCTTTTGTTAGAAGTTACTTCAATGTAGTGCTTTGTATAAATTCAGTTTCTAAGTAAGTTTTAATCCTCAAAGTAAAATTTTCAAAGTGATTCAGAAAGTTGGAAGCATGGTGTGATATCAAAACCTCATCTTTCGAAAATCAGCAAAGGGAGAGAGGAGTGCAAGTATCTTTTAAAATTCTGACCTAAATTACATAATCCTCCAAATTAACGCTATCGTTTGCAGTCTCTCGTACCCTGATTTGGGCAGAACTGATACACCTCCACAGAAAGCTGGGTATGAGCAAGCCTGTTCCTGGCCAGGGAAGGGAAAAGAAGGAATCACGACTCACTACCTGGCGCTCCTTTGTACTTTGCCCCGTGCCGGACACTGCGGACGGTGTATAAGGAAGTTGCGCTCGTGTCGGACACTGTGGGTGGTGTACAAGGAAGTTGCGCTCCAGTCTGCAAGTAAACTAACCAGCCTCCTTCCACGAAGAGGAAACTTGAAGCCCCAGAGACTCTCCACTAAGGCGAAGGCCCGAAAGCCCCTCCCGAAGCTTCTGTAAAGGTTAATAAAGGAAGGATGTAGTCCCTGACAACCCAGCCCAACGACTCCCTCCTCACCCCCCCGCCCCTTAGAGGAGGAGAGGGCTCTCACTAAACAGGAACCAGAGAGTTAACAGTAGGCGGTAGCAGGGCGGGGCTCCAAGAGCAGCCTCGGTAGGAGCCAGCTCCCAGGCAGCGGCTTGCAGAATCGGAAGGAGGGAAGGAGGGAGACAGGGAGGGAAGGAGCTGGCGGCCCCGCCCCAGGCCCCGCCCAGCCCGAAGAAGGAGGGCTGACTTTTCCGCCTGGGGGACTCGGCAGCAGGCAGGACGGGGGTGCCCTTCCCTTCCTGTGAAGCTCGAGCAGCCCCACGCAAGCCCAGCCGCCGCTCACCAAGAATGGCAATCCCTCCGACCCACTACCCGGCCTCCAGGGCGGCCTCGGTGGTAGAGAGCTGCATCAACTACCAGCAGGGCAGCCCCCACAAGGTGTTTCTGGTGCAGACAGTCAAACAAGCCAGCCTGCAGGTGAGTCGGGCAGAGGGTGGTGGCGGCACCTGCTTCCGTACCCCCCACCGTCGAGGGTCTCAGCTCCACCTGCTCCTGACTCCCCACACCCCTTGCCCGTTTTGGGCCTTAAGGCTGGCTGTCTCTCTAGGGGAGTTGGCTTTTCTGGGCTTGGGCTACACTCCAGTCTCTGGGGACAGCCCCGGGGCTGTTTGTTGTTTTTACGGGAAGGCAGAGACACTGATAGTTTTTATGGGCCCTGCTACAAGGAAGTCGGTAAATGTTCTCAATTGGGGCGGCTTCTCCCCTTTCCCCAAGTGAAACCTATAGGAACCATTTTCAAAAGGACCTTAAAACTGGTGCTATGTTTAGCATCTACTACTCCAATCTGGGCCAAGAGAAGCTCCCGTCTTGCAAAAGATTCACTGACTGAATTTTAAGATCCTTTATTAGACTCAGACCAAAATGAAGGGGTAAACAAAAAGCAACAGAAACTGACAAAGCAGAATAAAAGTACTGTGGCCTGAAGCTTCACTTCAACCATCCAAACACTACTGCCACTGACTGCTGTGAATGATGGGCCCCCTCTGGCTAAAGGGTTAAATTTAAACTGCTCAAGACCTCAGCAACCACTAAGCTTGTTTCTGTTTTACTAAAATCTAATAGATTTGAGACTGTCCCTTATTTATCTGACAGAAGTTTAACTGCTAACAGTCTTTAAGAGCTGACAGGGAGTAAATGTTATTTCAAAACCACACCAGATAACATAATTAGGTATAAATTCTCAATTACATCTTGATTCAAAAGTGAAATACCAAAACGTCTGTCTTACTGTTATTAAATTTGTTAACGCATCATTTTGCAGGTCCACTAACATACAAGTAAAAGCAGTACTTAACATTCTCTAACCACTTCGCAGTAGGCTGCCTCAGAATGGAATTCATCTTCATTGAACACTATCTGGAGGGTACATAAGGCTTTATGAGAAAGCTTTTCAATAGTGCATCCTATTTGTCACCTTTAGAATTAAAATTTTCAAAATTTCTTATGTGGAATTTAGGATCACAGATCCAGAGGTTAGAATACTCTGATGACTGAAAGTGAATTATAACCGATTTTATTTATATATGCTTTTATCTCCCCCTCTTGTTCTCATCCAAAATAACCCTGCTAGAGGACCTGCTAAATTAGATGTCACAAACATGGTGACATGCCTTGGTCAAGGTGTAAGGCCTTAATCATTTACCCCCAACAGTCAGCACCACACCCAACCAAATGAGAATGGATTCTTCTAACAATGTAAAGAATTGAGATATTGTTATAATAACACCACATTTTCTTAATTTTAGGATATTCCGGGAAGAGGAAGAAAGTATTGCCTTAAATTTTCTGTGGAAGAAATTATCCAAAAAGTAAGTGAAATGTCATTTTATTATGAAATAAAATTTGATTCCTAATATTCCATATCACCTCTGCTGATCAAATCATAGGATTAATTTGGTTTTTAAAAGAGTTGTTGTAAAATCCCTGCCTCAAAAAAAATGATCACCATACAAAGGTCAGTTTTTACTTTTTGTGTATTCTGAGATACACTTAGTATTTCTATCACTTAGAAAAGAGACTCTGTATACTTCAGTTCAAATAAATTTCCTTTAAAAATGTTACGTACTCATAGGCCAGTATGAATTTATGCCTAATATGAACAAGTGTAATAATGAATTCTACAGTCATCATCACTTTTTTTATGTCTGTTTCATTCTGTTTTGCATTTCTTTTATTTAAAGAAAGCCAAGTGCTTTCTTAGATATTTATGAGCAACAGAATGGCCAACTGATACCACTGTGTTCAGATAAGAATCTTTCAGTAATGGGGCAGGGAAATTAAAAAAAAAATATACACCTGTCAAATTATTAATGAGACGAACTTAAAAGGAAGGAACTGCCACTTGTACCATAACCATCTTGAAATTTTAAAAAGCTTGCCCTTTTGTTAAGCATAATTAAGAAGAGATACAGGGCTTCCCTGGTGGCGCAGTGCTTGAGAGTCCGCCTGCCGATGCAGGAGACGCGGGTTCGTGCCCCGTTTCGGGAGGATCCCACGTGCCGCGGAGCGGCTGGGCCCGTGAGCCATGGCCGCTGAGCCTGCGCGTCCGGAGCCTGTGCTCCGCAAATGGGAGAGGCCACAACAGTGAGAGGCCCGCATAACGCAAGAAAAAAAAAAAAAAAAAAAAAAAAGAAGAGATACAGGCTAACATAAGGAGATTCATTAAAAGGCATTTGAGCTGCTTGATAGTCATCTTTACAAAGCAGAACCAAGCTACAATCTTCTCATTTTATATTTGGATATAGATTGCAGAATCTGAGTTTGAGAAAATTTCTGTTATTTCAGGAGGAGAGAATAAGAGTAATGGACAGACTTAAAAAAAGTAACCAGAGTCTAGAGTTGGTATATAAAGATAGACTAAACTCTGCCTTACAAATGGACTTCCCATTAATACTGAAATACATAGTTTTAAAATGAATTTACAAGATTATGAGACCTTATATGTTATAAAACAAGTTACCTATTTTAGATACCTCTAAGAAAATTATTGGGCCACCACCAACTAGATACCTCTGGAATAGGTACACTCAAGTCAAGTCTGAAACAACATCATTAGGGGGGCAATGCTTTAAATGTTATATCTCAAAGAACAATAATTAGTAATGGATGGCCATCAACATGTAAAGATCTTTCACAAAATGTTTCAAACAGCAAGTTACAGTGAATTGCACAGCTGAAGTACTGTACCCTCCAATGGGACAAGATACTGCACCAGAAGTCAACTTAACATTTGACGGAGAAATTGGAAAGAACCCAGATGAGGAAGATAACACATTTTATCATAGACTCAAGTCTATGAAGGAACCACTAGAAGCACAAAATATTCCAGGTATATAAATATATGGCATGGAAAATATTTTTTTCGACTTTAAGATCAATATCAATTACCTATGCTCAAAATTGTTAGATGTTAACATGCTGGCAATATACTGACTTTTGCAAAAATATTTATTACTAATCTAATTCAACAACAAAAAAAGCCTTGGAACTTTATAGATCAATCTATGGCTTAATTAATTACTTTCTGTACACATTTGAAGAAAACTAAGACATGACTTAGAATTTAGATTTTTTTAAAGGTTAATACTGTATATATAAAATAATTCCATTTATCATATAAATGTTTCCCTCACCAGACAGTTTTGGAAATGTACCTCCGGAAATGAAGCCAGTTCAACATTTAGCCTGGGTTGCCTGTGGTTATATAATATGGCAAAATTCTACTGAAAATACATGGTATAAAATGGCAAAAATTCAAACTGTCAAGCAAGTGGTAAGTAATTTCTATAAAATACACTATTAATAGATTTAATATTTACTGAAGGTGTTATAATTCACGATTGGATGAACAGTGCCCCTTTAGTCATTTTGTATTTAAGACAGTGAAGTCAGTATTTGAAGGAGAAGTCAGTTATCAAGGCTGGAGAAGGTGAAGCTGCAGTTTCAAGAGTGAAGTCTTGAATTACAAATAATTTGGCAATGGTTTTTGTGTGCAGCTTAATACAGATTATTTCCTTTCGCAACCTAAGTTTTGTGTTCAAATTACTATAATCATGTGATACTGAAACCACCTTTGCTTTTTTCCTTTAGTGAAATGGTAGTGTCAGAGCTAGAGATATGGCTGGAATTTTTTCCCCCAGGATCAGCTGGAACAAAAATATTAGCATCTCAATCTTTGGGAAGCTTGCGGTATATAATTATCTTTTAAAACCCATTTAGTCATAATTGACAACCTCATATCTTACTTGTTGCTAGCCTTGCATTTTTTTTTTTTTTTCGGTACGCGGGCCTCTCACTGCTGTGGCCTCTCCCATTGCGGAGCACAGGCTCCGGACGCGCAGGCTCAGTGGCCATGGCTCACGGGCCTAGCCGCTCTGTGGCATGTGGGATCTTCCCGGCCCGGGGCACGAACCTGTGTCCCCTGCATCAGCAGGCGGACCCTCAACCACTGCGCCACCAGGGAAGCCCCTAGCCTTGCATTTTAAGTCTGATATGACTATTCCAAACTGCCTCTTTCTAGACCTTAAAGAGATTAAAATAAATTCTTTGAGTTTAGCTTTATTAAGAGGTTTAAAAGAAAAACAAAATATGTCAACTAGTAGTATTTAATGGAATACAAGAAAAATACTCTGTAAGAGAAAAGCACTTTCCATTGGCTTGTTTCAGTTTGTTGATAACAAACTGCAAGGCAGTTGGAGCACCTTTACTCCACAAGCTTTTGCAGCCACTTATTAGATAACTTTGGACACTGGAGGACAGGATACCAATTACAGTACTCAGAGTGTAATGCCAAATACCTAGCATCACTATTTGTAACACTTTAAGAGAGCCTTTTTCTAATGCATTTTTGTAGATAGCAACCTTGGTTACAACACTCCTATAGGGGCATTGAGGCTCAGATAATTGAGTAGCTGGGTCCACGTTACAGAGGATATACAATCACAATCATGATTTTCAAGCCATGTTTTTATAGCAAAATATGCAGTGTTACTGCGTTATGAAATCAATTTCCGGTAACCCTTCACTAAATTGAAGTTTTAAAGCATTAATGAAAATCCCAACAGAAGAGTTTAACCACTGCTTCAGCGTGTATATATTATATATCTTTACCTATTATGATCCAACACGTAAGAAACCTTCCTGATTTTTACCTTATCCTTAAAGGACATTCTTTGTTGATATAGTCAAAGAAGGGACTGCTTCAAGATACTCTTAAGGAGAGAAGAGTATAGTTTTATTTGATCCTGGGGCCATATTTATAATTACTGTCAACCAAAGGAGCCACAGGAGTTTGTGCTGCCTCTTGGAGTCTAGGGCTTGTTTCAATACATCAGTTATAAGCCTTAAAGAGCCTTGGGTGAGTACAGCAAATTTCTGACGACCATGGTTTGAAACTCTGTAGATGCAATATTTCTGTGCAGCTGATAGTATAAATACTTTATATGTCCAAAGCAATAAGCAGCATAGATCAAAGCTTTAGTTACAAAATCAAACATTACATTTTATTATTTTCAGTTTTTTAAAAGAGAATTTCTATTATAAAATTGGTTTCCTTTAGTGTAAACTCTCATTTCAGTAGTTTATCCCTTAAACGATGCTTTTCTGAATAATGGAAACATTAAGGAATTTAAATGACAAATTATAGACTGTAATGTTCTTAAGTAGCTACCACAACTCAGAAACTAAAAACAGAAAGGGTAAATGATTTTTAGAGTAACAAATTTTTTAAAAATCATGATTTTAAAATGTAGTTTGAAAGAAATCTTATTTATAAGAGAATAGTTTTTCTGCCAGGCTAAATTATGACATTCAATTTTTAATTTTACTTAAGTGGAAGTATTACTGTCATCTACTAATGAAAGCTGATTCTTAAAATTATCATTTTTGCCAATGATATCAAGTTTTAAATGCAGGTTTTTATTTTTTATAGCAAAGAAATGATGACTTCATTGAGTTAGACTACACCATTCTACTTCATGACATTGCATCTCAGGTAGAGTATCATTTTCCTTTATTTGATGCTACTTTGAAAATTGAGACTCATTTTGTAGCCACAGTATGCCTTATTAATTTTGACTCTAAATCAGAATTCATATAAATTCAAATAGGCACCAGGTTGAAATATATTACACTTGGCAGCAATTTAACTTGTTTTGTGCTTTCTTTATGAGGACTGTTTTGTTTCTAACAAAATATAAACCCAACTCTGTTTTCTTAAATGTTTTCTGAATTTTATCATAGCATCAGTTTCCTTTACTTGCAGGAGATTATTCCTTGGCAAATGCAAGTTCTCTGGCATCCACAATATGGTACTAAAGTAAAACATAATAGCCGTCTACCAAAGGAAGCACAATTGGAATAAATGAAGACTGTAACATTCGATGAAGTATAAACATGCTTATTAATGATGTGTATACCAGTCTTCATTGATATCTAGCTTAAAGGGTCAGACAAATCTCGTAAGTGTCCCTTTGTATAAACGGCCTGAACTACAGAACTATATAGCTTCCATAATAGAGCATCACAATGTAAAAGTGTCTTATCAACAGTAATAGTGCTATGTATATCCCCTAATAAAAAGCTTTAAATTCCAGCCTCATAGTTTATGTTTAATCGTTTTGCATACTTACGGGACAGGGGCTGTAATGGTTTCTCTGAAAGCAACTTTTGGCCTTCCTGTGATACAAGGACAGCCATATTCTCTTTCCATCCTCTAAAAAGAGCAGGAGAGATCTTTTTGATATATTTAAATTAAAAAAATAATAAGCTAAAGGAAGAAAAATCCTAAGAGTCTCAACTACCTTAGAAGCATTCATTTAAATATGATAAGCAAATGATAAATCTTAAATCACTTAAGTACCTTATGAGGATAAATACATGATATTAAGCAATACAAACTGCTTTTACAGATTTTATATAAATAAATTCTAATTTAGACTGATTAATTTATACTTACCTCCAATTAATCTATCCACTAAAACTTTATCTTTCCTCCATTTTATTACATATTTACTGGAATAGTATATGAATCTGTTGTCATAATTTTCTACTATCTCAACTTCAAAGATATAATCAGAACCAGAATTTTTAATCATTAAGTCATATATATTTTGTTTTCGTTCACATACACACAACACCTTTCCTAGGTAAGCAGGGGCCCCATCTACCCACTTGTTCATCTCCATTATAATGATCTTCAAGTAGTGACTTGAGAAAAAAACAGGCAAGAAATGGCCTGAAGAGTGGGTACTGGTGGGCCGACTTTCTCAGCAGGTTTCTCCCTGCGGTTGTCTTCCTAAGGCTGAGACCAGGATACACTCGACCCAAGGAACCATAACCTAGGGATGGATGAATGGTCTTACTGCAAATCCCCTGAGCCTTGATTCTAGAAGTCTGCAATGTTTTACGAATAAAAAGATTTAGAAACCAAAAGTAATTAATTAGTAACACACACTGGAAGAAGCAGTATACCACAGCTAGAAACAAAAACCAGAGTGAAGCTTGAAGAATCACTATTAGTTTACAACCATCAGATTAAGAATTATCGACTTTTAACAAAACACAGACATAAAGTGAATTTAACTTCTTTGTTATTCATTACCTGAGCATAGATTTCCAGGTGTAATTCTCCCATTCCAGATAAAATTGTCTCTTTGCTCTCAGTGTCAAAGTGGACTTTAAATGTGGGATCTTCTCTTGTAAACCTGCCAATGCCTTTTGAAAATTTTTCCAGATCATTCTTTAAAAATAGAAAATCATTACACATTTTACTAAGCATGGTAAGCAATGAAATTGCTTTAATGAATGAAATGAAAAAGCTTTAATGAATGAAATCAAATACATGAACAGTTAAAAAATAAAAATGATCTACCATCTAGTTTCTAGGCTATATCCTTTTAATATGAGAGCTTGGATACCACACAGCCAAGACAGCAGGGAATAGCTAACTGAGAGAATTTTCTTTTCACACCAAGATACAGGAGTCCAAGACTTAACTCTATGCCCTTTCCTATTATATTGACAAAAACTGTCCATTTGTGGAAAACTGCCCATAAAGCGGAAAGCAGAATCTGTGTTACTGTGTTATATTTTAGAAATCCTATACATAATCAAAGGAATCAGCATGGTTACCAAGATTCTACTGTAGATTCAAGAGGGCAGTTAAGACCAACACTAGACAAATGCACATGAGACCTCTCCTTTTCAAAACAATCTGCTTGGATGTGGTTTGATGCACCTTTATTCTCCTTAGATGTAACTTCCTTATGTGGTAAGCAGAATAATGGTCTTCTAAGGACATGCCCTAATCCCCCCAAACCTGTGACTGTTACCTTACATGGCAAAGGGGACTCAGCAGATGTGAGTAAGGTTACAGACTTTGAGATGGGAAGATTACCATGAATAATCTGGACAGGCCCAATTTAATTGCATGGGCCTTTAAAAATGGAAGCTGAGGGACTTCCCTGGTGGCACAGTGGTTAAGAATCCGCCTGCTAATGCAGGGGACACGGGTTCAATCCCTGGTCTGGGAAGATCCCACATGCCACAGAGCAACTAAGCCTGTGCACCACAACTACTGAGCTTGTGCTCTAGAGCCCACGAGCCACAACTACTGAGCCCACACGCCGCAACTACTGAAGCCCATGAGCTCTAGGGCCCGTGTGCTCTAACTACTGAGCCTGCATGATGCAACTACTGAAGCCTGCATGCCTAGAGCCTGTGCTCCGCCACAAGAGAAGCCACTGCAATGAGAAGCCTGTGCACCGCAATGAAGAGTAGCCCCCACTCACCGCACATGCACAGCAACGAAGACCCAATGCAGCCAAAAAAAATTTTTTTAATAAAACAAAAATGGAAGCTGAATGAAGAAGGGTAGTGGAGAGATGGGAAGAGAAAAAGAAGAGACAGGAGACATTTGAAACATGAGAGGGGCTCATTTTGCTGTTGCTGGCATTGAAGACAGGAGGAAGGCGGCTATGAGGAGCCTCTAGAAGCTACAAACAGCCCTCAGGTGACAGCAAGGAAATGAGGACCCCCGTCCTACAACAAGGAGCTGAATTCTGCCAACAATCTGAGTAAGCAAGGAACTAAACTGTCCCCTAGAGCCTCCAAGAAAGAAACCACACAGCCTTGCCAATACTTGATTTTAGCCCATTAAGAACTGTGTCCGAATTGTGACCTACACAACTGTAAAATAATACATCTGTGCTGTTTTAAGCCACTAAGTTTTTGCTAATTTCTTACGGCAGCAATAGAAAACTACGCCCCAATCACCAATATTAACAGCTATCACATGTGGCTGAAGATGTGTTATGTGTTTTGCATACGTTATCTCAAATTCTAACCACAAGGCTGCACGACAGAATTATCCCCGTTTTACAGGTGAGGAAACTAGGTACAGATAAGTTGCTCAAGTCCACAGAGCTAGCTGGGCTTGAATCCTGGGTTAGTCTATCTCCAAAGTCTTTTCCCTTTTCCCTGCACTAGCCAGGGACTCTCAACTTACTAGAAGATCACCCCTGCCCCACTACTGAGATTCAGGGTTTTATGCAGTGATTTCATTATTTGATGTATATTAATTCTCCAGGAAGCAGACAACCCCAAGACACCAAAAAACCTTTTGAATATTGATGCGTTTGATTTCCCTCCATGATTGTGAACGATCAACAGTTAAATGTCTTACATAAACTCTGGAGTTAGGAATAAAGAAGAATAATATCTTTAACTTCTAGTCCTTCATCTTCTGAAGGGAAAAGCAACCAATCTGGCAAAGTACCTGGAGCAAACTGTGGCATCTCACTGTGGTAAGATGTAAAGCTCGCCTTTCAACTTTCTGAGATAGAGTGACTGAACGTTTCCTGCCACCTCAACATTCTCTCTTTTCTATAATGAGAAGGGCCTGGGAAATCTCAGTTCCTCAAAATAGATGAAGTAGTTGCTGTTAATATATCCACAAGACAATAAATCAGAATACGTTCTGTAAATGATAGTACCCAGATGACAAGAAATCATAAAATGTTCACTCAATGCATGAATGAGTTAATGTCAATACATCACGTTAAAATGATTGTTATGAATGTAACTAACTTAAGAACTAAACAATTATGTTTCAAGATCAGGACTAATTCCAATGACAAGCAATGCAAATGCAGAACCTATTCAAACAATTTTGGCTAAAAAGCTAAATGACATCAAATCCAATCATAAAACTTTATATTTGAAAGTGAGTCAAAACAGTCTTGTTTGAAGGCCTTCCATGTTATAGTCAGACATTTACTTCATAACTACCACAGATGTATTATAATCCATGAGGCAATTAATCTACGCAATATTTTAATACACTTTACAGTGAGTTTTTCCTGCAACTTAGGACAAATGCCTCAGTTGCCTCTTTTCCATCTCTTATGATCTGAATCTAGGAAGTTACTCACACAACACTCCAGAGCCAATGATATACCTTTACTATAGTAAAGAGTTATAAAGCACAGTCTCATGAATACTTTAATACCATCAACTTCTTCAAATATACTGTGAAGTACTTACTACTAATAGACTGGTAAATTTTAAAAGGTGATCTGAATACCAAAAGAGGAAATAGAGACCATAAGACTGCTGGTTATCACAAGACACCATGTGCATTGTGGAGACAGACAAAAAAGAGCTCAAGTTTTTACTGTGATATACTGAGCGTTAAATCAAACTCCTACCTTGTTAGAAGGCTTCACTGCTATTGAAATGACAGGATCAGGAACATGAATTGACTCCTAAAATATTTTTCAAAGAACAGAGAAGAATTCAAATACGGTACCGTATGTGTCAGGGGTGGATTAATTTTAATGTTCTCCTTTACAACAGAACAAAAGACAAACACTAGTCAACATCTTAGGGTAGACAAATATATCTTGGTCTGTTTTTCCTTAAATAAATGAATATATTAACATATAAAGGTGTCCACTTATATGATCTCCCTCCCAAAATAACAAAAATAAAGCATCTATTTTTACTTACTTAACTGTTTAAGACCCTTAAGTTTGTTGACAATTTCAGTTTAACATAATCATTATGTATAATGAATTCAAATGCTGAGATGTGGAATACTTATTAGCTAGTGACTACATCTGCTATAGCTATCTTCTGATAAGTTATTTAATCAAAATATACTGCCATCACTGATAAGAGAAGCAGAGAAAGGGACTAGATTCTTTATACATATGATATCTCATTTAATCAGTCACAACTCTGAGAGGCAGATATTATTATCCCCGTTTTACAAATAGAATCATTAAAGGCTTGGCAAGAAGAATAACTAACTTGGCCAAGGGCCAGCCGATAGCACAGGGCAGAGGTAAGACTGACCAGGGTCTATTTGCCTCAACGCCTGAGTACTTCCCACAACCTCCAGTCCCTTCATATTGGTAATGACAAGTTTAGAAAAAGCCTTATCAATAATACTTATCAAGAAGTCCCCTTATCTAGATCCCCCAAAAACCTTTACAGATTTATGATTTTTGTAGTGTCCTAACTCCACATGTAAAACCATAGACATTAGAGAGTATTTTATACAAAAAAGCTAAATTATAAAATTAAGAATTCATCATATGATACAGGAGCTATTATGGTGCTCATCTGTTAGGTTGGACCAGTTCTTATATAAACAACCCACTGTAAATTCCTTCACTGCAAATCACCTATCCCCTGTGTACTCATATTCGTCCTTTACTGAATGAATTCAGGAGAGGGAGCACCCTCATGAACACATGGTCATACTGTGCAAGAGCCTGCTGTCCTGTGGGGGCAAAAAGGGGAGTAAAGGGGACTGAAAGGTGGGGACTGAAAGGCGGGAATTGCCTGAGCATGCTCTTCCCTTCATTCTCCCTCAGTGATGAAAAGGGACCTATGAGTTCCACAAGGCAGGCTGTGTACAGTAAGTTGGACTATCTAGTTGCGTCCTGTCTGCAGGGCACGGTTCCGTTCTGTCATGCTGCCCCTGGAGTCTAGCCGAAATGTTACAGCCTGCTCTTACAGTTCTCTAGGGGATTGAGGGAAGAGTCCAATCTCCAGCTGCCAAATTAATAAGGAAGGAGCACTTGGCTGGGACTAGCCTGATGACGGTGACAGCAATTAGAGGTGTGCCCACAATGGGGAGGCAGATCTCAGGGTAGGAGTCAGTGCTACACATGCCAGGTTACCTGGTGGAGATTTTCCCTCCATGCTAAACCTTGGAGAATGGTGGAATGATTTTACTACGAAAAACTGGTAAGTTAGCTAACAGAGCACTTGTTTAGTTGACATTAAAAGAGCCACAACCAATCTACACTTGATGCCTGTGGCACTCAATGAAAACTTCTGTGGTTGTTTTTCTGAAGTACTAAAACATAGACTTCTGAAACGCAAGTGATAAACAGCTTTGAAGTTAAATGACTTACCATAGAAAGGCCACTATTATCTTTGTTTGTGAATGTGTCTCCACTAGCACAGTCAATGCCAAACAATGCACAGATGTCTCCGGCAAACACTTCCTCAATATCCTAAAGAAAGAATACAATAGGATACTTGCAAGTAATACAAACCAGGACATCATAACTAAAAAGTAATCGCACAATAAACACATTGTACACAAACAAACGTGGCAGAATCTCACCATGAATTCCACAAAGAAGGAATTAGATAGAATCAATGCAACACCAACAATCAACCACAGCAAGATATACCTTCAACAGGGCCCTTATTTAAACCACACCTCAACTGACAAGATTTTACTTTAAATGGAAACTCCGAGCTATGGCATCTTTACTTGGAGGATCTGCAGTACTGACAGAACACAGAACCTCATGGTTCTAAAGTTATTTCTAAAGAATTAAAAAGCATGAACAGACCAATCACAAACACTGAAATTGAAACTGTGATTAAAAATCTTCCAACAAACAAAAGCCCAGGACCAGATGGCTTCACAGGCGAATTCTATCAAACATTTAGAGAAGAGCTAACACCTATTCTTCTCAAACTCTTCCAAAATATAGCAGAGGGAGGAACACTCCCAAACTCATTCTACGAGGCCACCATCACCTTGATACCAAAACCAGACAAGGATGTCACAAAGAAAGAAAACTACAGGCCAATATCACTGATGAACATAGATGCAAAAATCCTCAACAAAATACTAGCAAACAGAATCCAACAGCACATTAAAAGGATCATACACCATGATCAAGTGGGGTTTATTCCAGGAATGCAAGGATTCTTCAATATACGCAAATCTATCAATGTGATTAACCATATTAACAAATTGAAGGAGAAAAACCATATGATCATCTCAATAGATGCAGAGAAAGCTTTTGACAAAATTCAACACCCATTTATGATAAAAACCCTGCAGAAAGTAGGTGTAGAGGGAACTTTCCTCAATATAATAAAGGCCGTATATGACAAGCCCACAGCCAACATCATCCTCAATGGCGAAAAACTGAAAGCATTTCCACTAAGGTCAGGAACAAGACAAGGTTGCCCACTCTCACCACTCTTATTCAACATAGTTTTGGAAGTTTTAGCCACAGCAATCAGAGAAGAAAAGGAAATAAAAGGAATCCAAATCGGAAAAGAAGAAGTAAAGCTGTCACTGTTTGCAGATGACATGATACTATACATAGAGAATCCTAAAGATGCTACCAGAAAACTACTAGAGCTAATCAATGAATTTGGTAAAGTAGCAAGATACAAAATTAATGCACAGAAATCTCTGGCATTCCTATATACTAATGATGAAAAATCTGAAAGTGAAATCAAGAAAACACTCTTATTTACCATTGCAACAAAAAGAATAAAATATCTAGAAAAATAAATAAATAAAAAGCATGTAGTATAGAATGGATAAACAACAAGGTCTTACTATATAGCACAGGGAACTATATTCAATATCCTGTAATAAACCATAAAGGAAAAGAATATGAAAAAGAATGTATATATATATATGTATAACTGAGTCACTTTGCTGTACAGCAGTAATTAACACAACATTGTAATTCAACTATACTTCAATTAAGAAATACATTTTAAAAAGATAAATTCAAAAAAATAAAAAATACAATTCTATCAGAAAGAAAAAAAAGAAAAACAAACAAAAAACATGTAGTACTATATGTGCTTCCACAGTCCAACAATGAGAATGTGTATGACAAAGGCATAAAAGGAAAACCTGCAAAGGAAGTTTTGGAAAACAAAGGCAGGAGAATGGAGTCTACTGTACTTAAAATAATCTTAATTTCTCACAGATGCAGGCAGTTAAAAAAACACAGGAAATCTAAGAATAAAGCACTGGTGCCTCTAAACTTCCTAGTCTTTTTTTATATTGACAGTTCATTAATTACAGCTGTGGCTGTGAATGAGCAAGTGTGTGTGTCTTGCTTTAATGGTTACACAGCTGTACGGATCTCCTAGCTTCTGGCCCATGAAAGAGCTGTGACAATCACTAATCCCTCTAGCCTGCCCCTGCTGCCTATCTCAAAAAACAGCAATGATGTCTAATTTTGAAAGACTGCCTATTCATTTTCCAGGAGATAAAAAAGTTATGGCCACTGAAAATTTCTGAATGTCGTAACATTTTGCTTAGACTAATAAATTTCTCTAGGAATATAGAGCTGAATTGAGAAAGGGTGCAAGAAGGAGACAACCTCACACACTTGGTATTCCTGCCAAGCCTTAACCCTATGGACCACAGAAGGCTAGGACAGATTCAGAGCCAATTCAAGAATTCAAGCCATAAGCCAAAGTTTATCTCCCAGACTAGACCTTCAGAGGTTTTAAATGCTCAGATGAATTCTGGCATCAATATGGCCCTTCTGGGCATTGGTTCTACTTCCATATTTCAGGAAGTAAATCTACTGAACAATGTGGGAAGTTATGTATGAATTTATTACTCTCATTTACCTTTGAGAACCACAGTTCCACTGTCCTAAAAACCTATTATACTCTTCGTAAGGATAGCTCTTGAGGAAAGTGTTGAATCTTGTGCTCCGAATCTTAGGGAACTAATGTCCCTTTTCCTTAACCTTGGCCACTGAGGAAATACAGCTAACTCACAAATGGTGGTTTAAAATGTGTTCCTGACATTTGCTAATTTAGCCAACACCAAAGTGCCACATGAGAATTGTAGCCCACCTAACTAAAAAGAAAGAAGCTAGGAAAACACATTCAACTACAAGTGATTTTCTTGTGGGGCTCAGGATACCAAGAAGGTAGATAAATTTCACTTGCATTAGAGAAATTTCTGATCTCACAACAATGCCCAGGTACTCGCCTCCATCGTGTCGGCATGCATGTGAACCAGCCGTTGCACCCGTACTTTCTTTCTCGTCCTTGTATTATAGATGGTATCACCCTTCTTCAACTGTCCTTGATAATTTCGAACATAAGTTAACTGTCCAAATCGACCTGCCTAGAAGTCAAGATTGGATAAGGTCAGAAAGAATAAAAAAGAAACACAGGAGTCAAAATTAAGAGGAAAACTTCACAACTACCTTCAAATATTTGCTATCAGTTTTAGTAGTACAACTGATATACATGCTTCAGTTTGTTGTCATAAACTACTTTAATACTAGTTTTGAATATAGTTAAGTTAAATGGTTGTTCTTTGATATCAAAATCCAAGATACTACTTTTGCTTCCTCTAAGTTATTAGGAAAAGTTTTAACATTTATATAATAAGGAAGTTATTCCATAAGTTGGAGAAACTAACATTGTTAGTTAGACTACATGTTAGAGAAACTTTGAGAGTCACCTGGAAAGCTATACAAATAAGAGTTCTGTAAAGTGACTGAATATAAAATGAATAATCAAGGATCATTTCCTCCTGAATAGTAACACTAACTTATTAGGTAAGTATTTAAAAGTTGCCAATTCTTCCCATGTTAATTTTCAGGTTTAACACAATAGCAATAAAAATCAGAAGAGGAATTTTTAAACATTTTATTAGTGACTTTAATATTAGAAGAATGGATAAAAATAGAAAATAACTCTGAGTAATATAAGAATATATTAAATACTCCAAAACATAAATAGTATAAAACTAGTACAAATTAAACTGAACAGCCCATAAGGTATAGTATAAATATCTAAAATGTTTACTTCATTTGTCAACAGAAGATAAATGACACATGACAATCAATGAAAAAAATATAACATTGTTCAAAAACTGGTAACTAGACAATTGGTCTTCTATTTGAAGGCAGAGGAAATACATTTAGATCCTACCTCACAGCATTCAGCAAAACAAATTCCAACCGGATTAACAATGAACAAAACAAGAAACCCCACCACAAAAAAGTAGAAAGAAAAGTAAATATTTACAAAATATAATGAAAGAGGAAGATTTATAAGGTTAAAAATGAGAAAATGACTAAAGACAAAGACTGATATATTTGTCTATGTCAATTTTAAACTGCGAATTGTTTTTTAAAAAACTTTATTAGAGAAAGGCTCGTACAAATAAGTAAAACACTTTGACTCTAATTTTAAAAAAGGAAAGACAAAAGAAATAAAGGGGCAATTACAAAAGAGGAAATACAATTCCATAACGAATATATGGAAAAATGTTCTCTATTATTAGGAATTAAGGCAAGATGAAGTATTAAAATACTATTTTCACTTATGAAATCAGTAATGATTTTTAATAAACAATACTCAATGCTGATAAAGATTCACTGAAATAATCTAACATATACATTAATTCTGAGAGTATGAAAGCAATCTGGCAATATAAATCATTAAATATTAAAATATTTCATACCTGTTATTCAATACTTACAATTCTGAGGATCCTAAGAAAAATATTCCTAAATATAGATTTTTAAAAGCTTTATGCATAAAAATTGTCACTGATAATGTTAATTGTCACTGCAAAGTAATGTTTATTACTTCTGGTTTTAGAAGTAATAAAAAGCATATTATAAAAATAAAAACTAGGAAAAAGCCCCCCTCAATATAATTCTATCCCAGAAATAACCACTCTTTAACACATTCAACTTATCCACTTAAAATTTTCCCACTTAAAATTATACACAGAAGCAATAACACAACAAAAAGCACACCCAGTCCCCAAATGTTGGTTTCTAATACCATTCACAATTAAAAGAAATCAGGGCTCTTAGAGAAATGGCTGATTCTAGGGCTGGGGCAGGGAATATACAACGTAAGCCTGGAGAATCCTGTAGTGCCAGAAAGCAAGGAAGTATTCAAAAAAGCAAAATACAGTGGAATGTCTAAGGGGCACAGAAGCCAAGTGAAACAGCTCCAATGGCCAAAACTGGTCAATCTGGCAAAAAAATAAGTAACATACCACTGGATTATAACTCAAAGTACAAAATAAATATCCATGAGTCCATACTTCCTCAAGGAGGAAGAAAATAATTCCCAGCCCTTGAGTGTGGGCTGTGCCCAGGAACCTTCTTCTAAAGAGTCAATATGGAACGGGGTAGAGGGGAAAGTAACTTTACAGTGGAGAAACCTGTAACCAAATATTTCCTAAGAGTCATTTTATAATAGGATTAAAACCTAATAGAAAAGAAAATTTCTATATATAGCAGTTAAATACATTAGAAAGCAACTTACCTCCAGTTTAAAAGCCAGGCCTACAAATGGATGGGAATTGTCTCTTTGGGGGTTCATTAAGATTTTGGTTTTCTCTTGTGAGTCACTTAAAATAAAAGAAATACACATTTATGAGATGCAATATTTGATATTTCTTTTATATCAATTTGTTTCATCAGAATATTATCTGAGAAGAAGCACATGTGCAGTAAACATTTCTGGGTTGATTCGTAAGTGAAATTTCACTGAAAGGGATCAATAAGAATAACTTTTCTGGCCTTAATTACTGCATTGTGACAGAACCAGAGCAGAATAAAAAACACAAAAATAGTCTGGCAGAAAAAGAAAAATTATCAATGAGAACTTCAAAATTGTTTCTTAAAGCATTAAAAAAAAATACAATTGGTTCCAAATGGGTAAATTTTCTTATGATGTAAACTTTGATAATGAAATAAATCATATTTCTAACTTACAAATAGAATATGATATGGGAAGGTATAATAAATATTTTTCTCTATGCCAAAATTGTTACCCAAATAGAAATGGAGATTGATTTTTGTAAATTATGGGGAAAAACCCACAATCACAACTACAAGAACCATTCTTAAATACTTTCCCAGTGCACAAATGTTAAAGTCTTTGTGCATAAATTAAAAATTTCCAAGACTTACTCCTGATTGAGAATAGCATAATTTTGGACTTCAGATGGATTTGGGAGGTATTCTAAAACAGCATCTAAAAGAGGCTGAACTCCTTTGTTCTTCAAGGCGCTTCCCAAAAAGACAGGAGTAAATGACCTATTCAGAGTGGCTCTTCGAATTGCGAGCTACAAACGAAAAAAATTAATGATTAGTTTATCTTAAAGTTACATTTTGTGTTTCAGATCAATTACAAAGCGACGAATGAAATGAATTGATACTCTTTGGAGTACTGGCTCTGGTGAAGGCTGGAATCAGGTTCTCTATAATTTAAGATCAAAAAAAAAAAAGAAGAAAAAAGGCTATTTAACTTTCAACACTGCAATTGCTTTCAACACTCCTGGAATGTCACTAACTTTCAATTTGGCAAAAAAAAGAAAGAGATATATATACACACATACATAGAAAATAAACACACACAGAACAGTGTAAATAGTATGTTAACAACTGTGTAAAAGAGAGGCAACAGCAGTGTACACACACACACACACACACACACACACACACACACAGGCTCTGGAAAGATACACCAGAAACTATTAACCGGCAACCTGTTTTAGGGACAGGGCAGAGAACTGGGCAGATGGGAGCCAGGTGGGAGACTTTTTCCTGTGTACCTTTGTATAGTTGTTAAACGTTTAAATGATACGAAAGTTTAAACTGTATGAAAGTATCACCTATTAAAAAAACATTTAACTGATTTGTTTTTTTTTTTTAAAGGACATACATACAGGAAGCCAAACAGTACAAACTGCTCATAAATTAAGGGCCGTGATAGTAACAAGGCTCTAAAATAACGACCTCCTGGTCGTGTCCCAACCCCTCGTGCAAGCACCGTCCATGTGTCCCAGCCTCATTCCTTACTGGCTACTGGGCTCAGAGGGAGCAGTGGACCTTTAGCTCTAGCAGCTGGAAGAGGCCAACAGCAGTGCTGTGCTGTGGCCACAACCCACCACTGCAGAAATATGCAGCTGCATACAATTATTTCTCAGTCCTCAGGAAAAACAGAAAACTAGTTATCCTAAAAAGCTTAAAGCAAAACATTTACAACCACAATTTCTAAACATCACAATGAAAAGTAGGATAACAGCTGAGCACAATAAAAAGGAGTATAAAAAGGAGAAAATAGGCATGGTAAGAAAGCAATTACTATTTGGAGCTATCTTAAAACACTTGCCTTTGCTGTTGCTAGGGACCAGAAATGGCTTGGTCACTAATCACTTAGGCTACCCTAGGCCACAAGGTCACATCTTTTGACTTTCCAACCCTCCCTATATGCAACAGTAGGAACATATGAATCTTACCACGCTTAACTTTACATCCATTGAATAGAGAAACACATGAGGGTGGCTGATAAACAGAAAAAAGGAGAAATTAAAGCTAACCCTATACCAGCCTAACAAAAGCTTTATTTTCCAGAAAATTTCCCTTACTTTTATAAGAATCACATTCACACTTGAAAACCGTTGCCTTTCCACTGTCCCTAATAACAATATACCCAACAACAACATAGAAACTAAAGTACACCCATGTATCCTGGCAGAAACAGTAAACATAGCAGGGCTGAAACTGCCCTCCTTATAAAGGCCTGCTTGCAAGGCTGGGCCCCTGGCTGAGGCCTGGAGATCTGGATTTCTGGGAGGTTCCCAGCATTCCCAGAACTGGTAAGACTGGTTCACTGTGCCTATACTGTTGTACAAACAATGTGATGTGTGCTAAACACCTACTTTCCTTCTGGGAGTCTGGAATTTGGTACATGCTAGGCAGGGGGTGTCTATGTGACCAGCCCCCAGTAAAACCTTGGCACTGAGTTTCTAATGACTTTCCCTGGTAGACATCATTTCACAGGTGCACTCACAACTTTCCGCTGGAGGAAACAGGCAAGCACTGCAAGACTGCACTGGATGCCTGGGAGCTTACGCCTGGTTTCTTCTGGACTTCACCTCATGTGCCTTTGCCCTTTGCTGATTTTACTTTGTATCCTTTCACTGTAATAAATCATAGCCATGAGTGTGATTATGTGCTGAGTCCTTACTCCTAGTGAATCACAGAATCTGACATATTCCCTTTCATAGATCGAAACCTAACTCTCTATTGTGGTTCCTGGGTTACAGTGCTTGACTTTAATTAAGGCCCAGACCTACACTTTCCTACGTGGTGTTCCTTACTCATCAGACAGCTGAGGTGATAATGCCTTTCTGAATGGTAAAGAACTCAAGCTATGAGATATATTAGTAAGCATCTCAGCTTCAATGGGGTTCTTTCCTTGTGCATTTGATCTATAAACTCCCTGAGTGCAATGTCTTACACACAATAATTACTTATCTGATCTCTGCTAAGGGCACCAAGTGGTTTGGCAAAATAAATATCAGTCTTTTTATGATTTTTATTTTTATGATAAAATATACATAACAAAATTGACTATCTTTACAATTTTTAAGGGTACAGTTCAGTGGCATCAAATACATTCACATTGCTGTTACTACTATCCACCTCCAGAACTTTTCACCATCCCAAAGTGAAACTCTGTACCCATTAAACTTCCCATTCTTCGCCCCCCCCCCAGCCCCTGGTAACCACTATTCTACTTTCTGTCTCTAGGAATTTGACTATTCTGGGTACCTCACAGAAGTGGAATCATACAATATTTGTCCTTTTACGTCTGGCTTATTTCACCTAACGTCATGTCCTCAAGACTTACCCATACCGTAGCATGTATAAGAATCTGATTCCTGGGCTTCCCTGGTGGCGCAGTGGTTGAAAGTCCGCCTGCCGATGCAGGGGACACGGGTTCGTGCCCCGGTCCGGGAAGATCCCACATGCCGCGGAGCGGCTGGGCCCGTGAGCCATGGCCGCTGGGCCTGTGCGTCCGGAGCCTGTGCTCCGCAACGGGAGAGGCCACAACAGTGAGAGGCCCGCGTACCACAAAAAAAAAAAAAAAAAAAAAAATCTGATTCCTTTTTAAAGCCCAAAAATACCCTGCATTATATGAATATACCAATTTTGTTTATTCATCGATGGACATTGGGTTGTTTCCAACTTTTGGCTATTGGGAATCACGCTGCTATCAACATTGGTGTACAAATACCTGAGTCCCTGCTTTCAATTCTTTTGGGTACACAGAAGTGGAATTGCTGGATCATATGGTAGTTCTAGGTTTAATTTTTGAGAAATCACCATACTGTTTTCCACAGTACATGCATCATTTTACATTCTCCAGCAATGCACAAGGGTTCCAATTTCTCCATATCCTCACCAACACTTATTTTGTTTTTTAAATAATAGTCATCCTAGGGCTTCCCTGGTGGCGCAGTGGTTGAGAATCTGCCTGCCAATGCAGACAACACAGGTTCGAGCCCTGGTCTGGGAAAATCCCACATGCCATGGAGCAACTGGGCCCGTGAGCCACAATTACTGAGCCTGCGCGTCTGGAGCCTGTGCTCCGCAACAACAGAGGCCGCGATAGTGAGAGGCCTGCGCACCGCGATGAAGAGTGACCCCCACTTGCCACAACTAGAGAAAGCCCATGCACAGAAATGAAGACCCAACACAGCCATAAATAAATAAATAAATACATTGTGTATAAAAAAAAAAAAAAATAGTCATCCTAATAAGTAAAGTGGTATCTCATTACGGTTTTGATTTGCTTTCCCTAATGATTAGTGATGCTGAGCATCTTTTCATTTGCTTATTGGCCATTTGTTATCTTCTATGGAGAACTGTCTATTTACAAATTGAATACCAGTTTTAGGCGGGGATCTTCTCTTTATTTTTTAAGAGCTGAACAATCAAGTAAAAAAAAATCTATATAGCCTTCCAAATAGTACAACAGGGTACATTTCTAATTTATCTTCTTTCTTCTTAATAAGACTATGTCCAAGAGGTTGGCAGTGTATGTATCTTTTTTCTTAGAACTATGACTCCTTTCCCATTTTACATAACTCACTACTTAAATAAGAGAATAATTTGCCATGTCAACTATTTTTTTAAGAAACCAATTATGTTAACAACTTTGCTCCGATTTCATTAATAAAACCCCTGCATAAAAGTACCATGTCCCTTCCCTACAAAAAAACAAAACAAAACCAAAAACCCTCTTTTTTCTTATTAATATAAGATTAATTTTGAGAGCACTTGCCTTTAAATCACAAATTGAGGGAATTTTTTCTTCCAGAAACATCTCACCAAGTTGCTCATCTGAATTAGCAACACATTCAATCAGCTCCTGCCGGTGGTCAGCTGCCGCCGCCCTGAATTCTGCTGGAATTTCCCCATATCGAACAACCTGACTAAAAGTAGAAATGTTTTATTTTGGTACTTTAAGAATATTCAGTTAAATTGTAAATCGACTATACTCCAATAAAGATTAATTAAAAAAATATTCAATTAAACATATAAGCACCAATGAAAAAGATAAACTAATGGCCAAAATATTTTTTTAGATAAGAGCTCTGATATATTTGCATTAAAATCACAAATAAGAAAAATGTGAATCTTTAAAATTCAGAATAGTGGGCAAAATACTTTAAACAAGCAAAGCAAACTGCTCAAGGTTGTACTACTAGAGTAAACAGATGAGCCATGATTCAAAGCTAAACTGACTCCAAAGTCCATGAGTACAGTTGACCTTTGAACAACACAGGTTTGAATTGCACAGGTCCACTTATACACGGATTTTTTTCAATAAACATGAAAAAATATATGTGTATAACACTGTATACAAAACTTGTATTGGGGCTTCCCTGGTGGCGCAGTGGTTGAGAGTCCGCCTGCCGATGCAGGGGATACGGGTTCGTGCCCCGGTCTGGGAGGATCCCACATGCCGTGGAGCGGCTGGGCCCGTGAGCCATGGCCGTTGAGCCTGCTCGTCCGGAGCCTGTGCTCCACAATGGGAGAGGCCACAACAGTGAGAGGCCCACATACGGCAAAAAAAAAAAAAAAAAAAAAAAAAACTTGTATTGAAGTGGACAGCCTATCATTATATAGGAATAAGATAAGTGATATTTAATATGAAATTAATGTGTTAGTTTTCTGTTTTATAACTTTGCTTTCAAAGAATTATATCACCATACAGTACGCCTTTCTCACATAATTAAAGAAACTGTGTATCATCACAAGTAATTTTTTTTAAAAGTCACAATGCTTCCAATACTGTATTATGAATATGATTATATGATATGCCATAAAAAATTCTATAACGACTCATTCGTTAGCATACAGACAAGGCTACTGCATTACATCAATTACACTAGGCTACCATAAAGCCATGTAGCGCTGCTTCTTCCTTATCAATGTATGAACTGTTACACCTGTATATAAATATGAATTTCTTTTCATATTTTATCTTTTCATTTTTGATATCTAGTGTTAGTAATACATATAACATCTACAGTGCTTTGACTCATACAAGATTTTACTGATGTAGGCATTACTTTCTATATTGATAAATAACAGTACAATACTATAAATGTATTTTCTCTTATGATTTTCTTTAACATTTTCTTTTCTCTAGCTTACTTTATTTTAAGAATACAACATGTAACATACAAAATATATGTCAATCAACTGTGTTATAGGTAAGGCTTCCAGTCAACAGTAGGCTATTAGTAGTTAAGTTTTGGGGGAGTCAAAAGTTATACTTGGGGCTTCCCTGGTGGCGCAGTGGTTGAGAGTCCGCCTGCCGATGCAGGGGGCACGGGGTTCGTGTCCCGGGCCCGGAAGATCCCACATGCCGCGGAGCGGCTGGGCCCGTGAGCCATGGCCGCTGAGCCTGCGCGTCCGGGGCCTGTGCTCCGCAACGGGAGAGGCCACAACAGTGAGAGGCCCGTGGTTCTGATATACAACAATGTTTAAAAGCCTCTTCTTCAGTAGACAGAAACGTGTGCCCTGGTAATTCTGAGGAAGCAGATTTATTCATTTACTTAAAAATATTTTTTGAGTATTTTGTACCAGACAGTTCTAGGGCTGGGTACACAGCAGCGAATAAACCTGATAAAAATCCTTGTCCCTTACATTCTAAGGAGTGAGAGATAAACTTTGTTGTCATTACTTAGTTGTCAAACAAAAAGTAAGAGTGAGAAATGCCTTGTCCACTGAATAGGCTTGATCTTTTCCCTACCTACAAGACGGTCGATAAGGATAAATTCTATATAGTTAACTGATCACAATGCCTTTCACCCACGTGCCAGACCAGCAATCTCAGATCCATAGCAGAAAAAGGAAACCCCTAATAAAGGATCTTTGGAGAGAACTGCCAGGCTACTGGGTCCACGCTTCAGAACAAAGGTTCATTTATGACTCCCCAAATTGTCTAGAATAGTGCCATTCAAACTGTGGTCTGCAGATCTGAAACATCAGCACGACTTGGGAGCTTTCCAGAAATGCAAACTCCAGGCCCACCCTACAGCTACTGAATTAGAATCTCTGAAGGTGAATCCAGAGATTTGTGTTTTAATAAGCTCTCTAGGTGACTTTTCTGAATGCCATGGTTTGATAACCACTGCGCAGTTACAATGCTTTGTATGCAAAGGTCTCTTCAAAAGTTGGTTGACAGACCAAAAACATTTCGAAAGTTACCAATTTGCTTTTTGTATTGCCTAAACCACATGTATACAAGTTTTAACTTCTTTTATATATTAAACTTTTTATTTTTGTAATCCCATGAAGTAGGGGAAATATTTATGATCCCTATTTTCTTCCCAGTTTTTATAATAATACCCAGAACACAGTAGCTGTTTCAGAAAAGTCTACAGAATGAAAGAATACATGGATGAATGCATGAACAAGTAGAAAAAGAGATATTACATCATTAGCCCAAGCTGAAGGTCTCCTTTCACCACACCGTGTATATCATAATGCAATATAAATATATCATCCAAAGAGTAACATACTCTCCCTTGGAAGGAATACTAAGCAAAATGGGAAGTAACTAGGATTAAAAGCATTAAAACAAAATCATCTTAGAGGATATTCTTCCAGCCACATTTCAAAAAGAAGTTTATATTTAAAGCACTCATCCTTTTCCTTCTCTTTGCTACTTTTTAAAATATAAGATTTTAATAGAATAGTATATTTTTAACACTTACCCAAAGTCTCCATCAAAATAGATGGCTCGTTCCTCAATAAGATCTATAATACCTTTAAAATCACCCTCCAAACCAATGGGTAACTGCACAAATGCTGCATTATGACTTACTTTAGACCTGAAAAATAAAAATACATGTTTACCCCTTTTTTTCTCCCCAAATCCCTCTGAAATGACAAAATAAATATAAAAAGAAATCAATGGCAGATCTGTGGAACTGATCAGCAGGTCAGAGCGGAGGATACAAAAGCATTTGGGAACAGACTGACAGCCAAACTCACTGTGCTCAGGAAGCCTCAACCCTATTCGGGCAAGAAAAAGAACTGTAAGATACGTATTTTCCCATCAGATCCCCAGAATACCCTGGATCAGAAACAGAAAAGGGGAAAACAGGTCATTGAGTGGTTGGCCAGGAAATTAAAGGATAGTGGGATAATTGTACCCACATCTCACTCTTGGATCAGCTGACTCTACTGAAGCTGAGTATAGCTATCTGAAAAGGAAGTTCCTTAGGGGGAAAACCTTAGAGTGGGTATTTAAGTCAGACACTCATCATCGGCCTGTACCCTCATCAGGCACAACCACCGAAGAGAAATCACACTCATTGGCAGGGATTTACACTCAAGTAGAAATATGCTCTAGCTAACTATGCTCTAGATTCTAGGTACCCATCTATAACTATGGATAGATAACTAAGAACCACCAAATATCTGAAGGAAATCAATAGCTTGAAAGAGAGGTGGGAGCTCAAGAAATGGTACTAACCTCCAAGGAGAAAGTTACTAGACGAAAATAAAATGTAAAGATTTAAAAAGGAATTACCTCTATTAATAAAGATGTCACAATAAAAGGGAAAGTTTATAGAAATTAACTACATAACTGCTGGGATTAAAAAGAACAAAAAACAGGCTAAATAACAGAAGGGATGCAGATGAATACCAGATTAGTGAGTTGGAAGACTGACCTCAAAAATTCTCTCATAACCCAGTGAAAAATTAGGAGACAGAAAGTATGAGAAAGTATGGTAGAAAAGTTAAGACACAGAGGCCAGATTCAGAAGTTTCAAGATCTGTTTAATGGGAGCTACAGAATGAGGTAACAGGTAAAAGGGAGTGGTGCAAAGAAAGAACCAAAGTAGTCAAATAAATGCTGAAACAGAATCTGCCTGGAATTCAGGAAAAAACTTGGCGCAAAGAGACCATCTATTGCCAACCACAAGTAAAATATAATTAGAAAAAAAAAAGTGAAAACGTTTCGTTATCCCAAGAAAGTATTACAAATGCCCAATAAAGAAAAATTTCACTCTCATGTTCTCAAAAACATCACTTCCATCAGAGAGCACACAGCAATACTGTCAGTTAAAGTTCCTCAACACGGTATCTTTTGTCATCAGACACATCACTCTTAGTCTCTCCACTACCACAAACCTTACTGCCTACATCCATCAGCTCTGCCATGTGAAACTTGGGTAGGAACTCTACCGCTACGTTTACAGATCTACAAAAGGTGAAAAGTGAAACTCCGGCTCTTTTCAAAGGCTGTGTGAAACACGTAGTATTGTGAAAAATGTAAAATCATATCAATACCACTGGGTTATGTCTGATTCAGAAAGGAAGTATTGCTGTTGTCTTAACAAATATGTTAACAAATAAAAGCAAGAGAATATAGAATACTAATTTAAGTCATTAATTAAAATTCCTCAAATGAAGGTTAAAATTGAAGATAATCCTCTAGGTTTGTCTAAATAAATGCACAGTACTTTTAGAATCTACCCTAGATTATAACTTCTCTAATTAGAGCAAAACACTACAAATTGCCAGATGGTTTTCTGAATTCACCTTCAATCTCTCTAAAATTTATGTCATATTTCTTCCATTTTACAGAGAAAGTAGTTGATGAAATCACATCACAAACCAAACTATGGACCTCAGTGTTCCATTTACTATGATAAGTCATACACATAGATGAATTTTAAAAAGGAAAAAAAATTTAAGGGGATAAAGCTTAATGACACTGAATTAACTGTCCTTCTGGATGTGAGGTTTGTTATCCGGATCATCACCCCCGCTCTGTTCTAAGGTTCAGTACCTCATTTGCTGCAGGGCCCTGGCTGGGTTGGAGCCCATTCGGTCGAGTTTGTTAATGAAAGTTAGAAATGGAACACTGTAGCGCTTCATCTGACGATTAACCGTCATGGTCTGGCACTGCACCCCTCCAACGGCGCAGAGAACAAGGATGGCACCATCCAGCACCCTCAGGGCTCTTTCAACTTCTATTGTGAAGTCCACGTGCCCTAAATGAGACAGAGAACTGTGTTAGGGTCTTAAAAAGCAGTATGAATTTTTACAACATGCACAAGTAAAAGTTCGTCTATCTCTGATCATTACGTAAGTCTTCTAATTAAAATATGAACCCCTTAAACCACCAATACTGTTCACTTACCACAAGGTTCAGGGGCTCAACAAAATCACTTCAAAAGATACTAGGGCATGGGCATCTTTGGAATCAGCTGCAACATGTAAAAGGCAAGAACATTCCTATTCACAACTTCCTTGCACTATTTTTCAAAGAAACCACTTAAAGATGAAGTATTCTAGGTCCCAAGTCAGATTTCTCTAATAGGGAATTCACAGTCACACTTTTGACTATTATTTTATACTCAAAAATGAGCTAGATCATGGTAAAGAACTAAATATGCCACTGCCAAAACAAGCTGCAATAAAACCAAGAACTTAGCTCACCAGGAGTATCTATAATGTTGATATTGACATCTTTCCACATGGTATAGGTGGCCGCTGACTGAATAGTGATTCCTCTTTGTCTTTCTAGTTCCATGGAATCCATGACAGCACCAACTCCATCTTTACCTTTTACCTAAACACAAGCACAGCAATTCAGATTTCTCTGTCGCTGCATTCCAAGAAGGGAAGAAATCTTCACAGATGGAACCAGAACACAGATAGTTAACTGATGCAATTTTCAGAGAAACCTAATTGTCAAACCATATCATCTCATGGAGTAGAAAATTGATTACAGGTTTTGCCCTCTATTAACCCTAACCCTTTTTTCATTGCCTTTTTTAGTAGCTGCTACGACTGAGCATTACCTGGTCTTAGAGCCATCCTTGCTCCCTCTGCACTGTTCCTGCCCACCAGCCCTGTGTTAGTCTGTGAGCAGATATGCAGAGAAGAGATTTTTCCCTGCTGTGTTTCTTGTGGACTTTGAGGTCTGGGTGGGAAGAATTCAGCTTTTAAAGTCTGTGATTTAATGAGATGATCTTCATCTGAAGTAACATTTTTAAGTGGAGAGTTGAATTACTCAATAATATGTAATGTCTTCAGGAGAGTTCCAAGATTTTCTAAAATAATTCTTTCCTGACATATATATTTTTTAACTATTAAACTCATTTTAAACCCTTTTTCCACTTAACATTATAAACATCTCTCCATAACTTTTAAAAGTATGTAAACATTATTTTAATGGCTGCTTAAGGGTACATCATACTGACTTAACATTCTTCAAAAACAGCCTACTCAGTATACCCACAGTTATGGTCTCTAGAAAGATTCCTCAGAGCAACATTTCAAGCCAACCTGATCTATCCATTTTGTGACTCTGATTAAAGATCCACTGTTACCATTCTTTTAACCTTTCAGGTTTGTAAAGTTTCTTAAATCCTTATAAAACAATTAAAACCAAGGCCAAACTAATGGCATCAACCATGAACCACATACCTCATGCATTTTTGCAATTCTGCCAGTGTAGTAAAGCACTCGTTCTGTTAATGTAGTTTTCCCAGAATCAATGTGAGCTGAGATTCCAATATTTCGTATCTTTTCATTAGGTATCACCCCTGATGAACACCATCGGCAAATCTTCCAATTAGCCTGAAAAAAAAAGAGAGCTCAATTCAATGCACTTTTCATGAGAAAACAGTGTACAATTAGAAAGGGTTTAGTGGACATCTTTCCTCCAAGAAATCTCAATGGACACAAAACGTCATGTGATTGTCTGAAAAGGCAAAAGAAGGAATGTCTCAACCTGCAACTCCTGTAACCAAACAAGAGGCTGCAAGAGAGTACAGAAAAGACATACTCTTAAAAATAAATAAGTCAGAAAAGATATATTCAAATAAATTAATTAAATAAATAAAAGGAGACAGATACTTTTACCGGATGGCACAAGTTTGAAAATATACACTGGGGCTGATAAAATCAGAAAAACTGCTCCCATCAACTACTTTAATAGGAAATATAGTTTTTACTCTAAATTTCACTTTGATTTTTTTTTTCCCCTTCCTCCTTACTGTAGTTCACAGCTAGCAAGGATGTTTGGGGACTTATATGCTCTATGTAGTGGTGCCAATAGCTTCAAGGCAGCCCACAAAAGGTCTCCAATTCCTTTCTACCCCAAAACAATTAGTAACATTAAAACAACAACAACAACTTTATTTTACTCTGGTGGTGATTGGGAATCCTGCATTTATGGAAACAAGACACAATATACATCTCTCTATATAGGACTGCCCAACCAAAATGCACTGCACCCACTTCTGGGAAAAGGGAAGAACTTGGAAAACCTGGGTAAAATGGAATCTGGGTGATCGGCGCTTGGTTGATTAAATCCCACGGATATCAGCGAGCAAAGCAAAGGAGGTTTGCATGACAGGAAAGGCTCAACTCCTACCTAATCCTAGTCCACTCTGCGCTCCCCGCGCCCCCCACAAAAGGCAGACACAGAACCAAAGAAAGGTACTGGGAGGGTTGGGCTCCAAATCAAATAACCCAGGGTCAGCTGAAAGAGGGATCAGTCAGGCCAACGACACGCTGTAATGAGAAGAGCACGGCATAACGAGTCAGAAGCCCTGGATTCGAGCCCTGGACACACTAATTTTTCCGTTGTCTCGACCTTCACTCCAGTCACCTCTCCTCTCTAAGTTATACCAAACATAAGAGGCTTAACCGTAAATCGGAGGCCGCCGAACCTCCCAGCGCACCGAGACGCTGCTCATTAATAACCAGCAGCTGTGCAGATACCGAGGGGCTTTTCAGCGCAGAAGTCGACAGCTCACATTCAGAGCTATCAGTAAGGAGATGCCAGGGAGGGTAGGAGTGTCACTTCCTCCCCGGCTTCGGACACACCGCAAGGTCCCGGGGACAGTCCGTGGTGCGGTGTCGCCCTGCCGGACTCCACTACCTGCTTCCATTGCCAACCCAGGGCGGCGGGGACCCGCGGGAGCGGCCGGCTCTCCACAGCCGCGGCGGCGGCGGCGGCGGCGGCGGCGGTTCCCAGCAGCCTCATGGCTAGCGCAGAACAGACGCGAAGGTCTTGCAGCTCCGGCCTGTCCCGGCAACCAGCACCGCTACTACAGGCGTTCAGAGGCACGCCGGCAACCACTGCCGGAAGAGAACGTCACATGCGGAGGATGAGAGGGCGGGGAGAAAAAAAGAGAGAGGGAGAAGCTTCCGGTTCTCAGAGCCGAGCAGCACCCTCAGCTGCCAGGATGCCCTCTGCCGACTGGGAAGAGGAAGTGCAGTCACTTTGCGGAGCTAATCAGGGTTTTGGCACTGTCCCAGAAAGATGCAGCCTTTAAACGTGGTTGTTTTCCCCATACAGCAGAGTGGAGAGACGTTTATTAGAATTTACGTTAAAAAATGCAAAATTGTTATCTATGCTACTACAGAAATATGAAAAAATAATTGATCTATAGGATGACCTGTAAAGAACGTGGAAAAATAATGAACTATCTACAAGTGCTTTTTCTCCTTTCAAAATGTTCCATCTTTGTTCGATGTTAAACATTATATGTCCAGTCCATATAGAAGACAGCATCCTTGAGGATTCCACTTGGATCTCTTAGAGGCATCTCGAACTTAATATGTCCAAAAAGGAGCTAATGATCTTCAACCAAAACCTTCGTCTGCAGTCTTCTTCATCCGATAAATGGAAACTCCATTCTTCGAGTTGCCCAGACCAAAAATGTCACTTTGAACCACTCTTTGACTCTGCTGGTCTAGTCTGTCAGCATATGCTATGGGAACTACGTTCAAAAATAGATTCAAAATCGGCAGCTTCTCTCCACCTCTCAAAGCGCTGCTATCTCGAGGGAATTACTGTAATAGCCTAACTGACCTTACTGCTTCTGCCCTGCGACTGCTCAGTCTATTCCCAGCACAGTAACTAAAGGGATCCTTTTAAGCCTGGCCATGTCATTTTTCTGCTGAAATCACTCAACCAGTGAATTCACTGTTGCGGTCATCTCTACTTTTGTGTAGGCTTGAAATTTTTCATAAATAATTTTTTTAATCTGAAATTTTTAATGACCTTAAAAATTTAAATAACTAAATTAAAAAAAAATTAACCTTCAGAATAAGCACCTACATTACAAGGTCTTGCTTGAGCAGCCACACCAGTGTAACTCTATTTCACTTGCTCATTTTCCTCCAGACACATTGGCCTCCTTGCTGATCCTCACATGACCAGAGCCTATGCTCTCCTCTGGATACCAGCATGGCTCTTTCCCTTACCTTCTTCTCTCTGTTCAAACATCCTCTATCAGTGAGGTGTTCCCTGACCAACTCTTCTAAAACAGCAAGCTCTTCCCTATGTTCCTGCACTGCTTCATTTTCCTTCAGAGCTCTTCTTAGATACACCCAGACATTTTACATAGCTGTCTGTTGTCTGACTCTCCCAATGAGAATGTAAGTTCCACAAGGACAGTGATTTGGTTTCGTTAATTGCTGTACCCCTTGCTGTGCTAGGTGCTCAATAAATGTCAAATGAATAAGATCAAATAAATGGAAATCAGAGTAAATTACAGGATACAAAGAAAGAAAAACCAGAGATTCAATGATGAATTTTGTACTTTTTTGTATATAATCCATGTATTAATTTTTAGTAAAGGATTTACTTTGATGAATCAATCCATTAATGTTGAATACTTCTAAGTAAACTTTTTTATTTGTAGGCTTTCAAAAATTTAGTCTTTATAAGCCTGTGTATTTGTTTAAAATATGTAAATTAAATAATAATTATGTAAATAGTAATAACATTAAGGTTTTACTTTAATTTTAAGATATAATTATGTTAAATAAAAAAAGTGTATCTGAGGCTTCTCTGGTGGCGCAGTGGTTGAGAGTCCGCCTGCCGATGCAGCGGACACGGGTTCGTGCCCCGGTCTGGGAAGATCCCACGTGCCGCGGAGCGGCTGGGCCCGTGAGCCACGGCCGCTGAGCCTGCGCTCCGCAACGGGAGAGGCCACAACAGTGAGAGACCCGCGTACCGCAAAAAAAAAAAAAAAGTGTATCTGTTACTTTTGAAATTACTTTTTGAAATTACCACTTTAACAAACTAAGTTTCCTGAAGTAAAAATTCATACTCATTGTCCTCTGTGTGTGTATATATATATTCATATTTTTCTGTAATTATTATACCAAGTATATTCTTAATTATTTTTATTAATCACCACTTTTAACCAAAGTAATAAACTTGTTTTCTCCACAGAGGAAACTAGAGGACAAAAGGCCAAGAACTGTCTAGCTAAATTTTTATGAGTACACATTATAGATTACTTCTGTTAGGTTTTAAAGTGGCAAAATACACATACATTATATCATTCAAAGCAGTTACACATTCCGTTAATTCATAGTCATTTTATAATGTATAAGAATAAAGATAAATTCAGTGAAGGTCCTGATTCACTGCAATGAGGGTCTAGGTCAAACCTCAGTAGAATCTCCAAATTGCCCTAGCCCGACTGGCCTAAGACCATTGCCTTAGTCCATTCAGGCAGCTATAACAAAAATACCATAGATGGGGTGACTTGTAAACAACAGAAATTTATTTCTCATAGATCTGCAAGGTGGGATCAAGATCAAGGTTCCAGGAGATTCAGTGTCTGGTGTGTCCCACATCCTGGTTCATAGGCAGCCAACTTCTCATTGTGTGGGCACAAGGCAGAAAGGGTAGAGGTGCTCTCTAGGGTCCGTTTTACAAAGGCATAATCCCATTCATGAGAGCTCCACCCTCATAACCTAATCACCTCCCAAAGGCCCCACCTCCAAACACCATCACATTGCCACAGGTAGGGCACCATCTGATACCAATGTGCTCCTGCCACTGCCCTGTAACAATAAAAGATAATGAAGTCCTAAAGATAAATAATGAAAACCTATCACTGAGACTGAAAGTTACCAGGAAAATCACTAAAGTAGCAAGGAGCCTAAGTTTTCAACTTGGACTTATTGTCAAGGCCACATTCACAAAATAGTTAATATCCTTACATTCCCCAAAGACCCAGCGTTCCAGAAAGATCAGTGGTTGTCAATAAAGAAAAATTAACATGTGAACTACAAGCTATGGCGAGCCTTCTTTTTTATACTAGTTGACTTCAGAATTAGGATAAAAATAAATTCTGAAAAAAGTTAATTTCAGCATTGCGTGAACATAAAGAATTAACATTTAATCTCCAGATGTCATATATTTTGTAAGTGGCCCCTTAGGAAGCACTGTGGCATAGGAGGAAATATATACTTAATTCAATTTTAATTTGATTTCTACGGTAAACAAATTGAGATGAAAAAAGCATCTATGAATTCTCTGTTATACGATGCATAGAAGTTATACTGTTTTAAGTACAATTATTTATTAAAATGTGTTTTCATATTTGAATATAATGATTCAAGTTAACTTCAGTGTAATAATTTAGGCAAAAAGAATAATTACGGTGTCTACCGGGATTTTGCTCTATCTAGGGAATTTATGCAGAAGTGTTATGTCAAATGGATGCCTTATGATAACTTCCCAGTATGTAATAGTATGTTATTAGTATACTAAATTGTCCATAAGAGGAAAATTTTAACATCTTCAACACTTGCTCAATTACTTTCCATTATAAAAATGAATTGACACATATGCATCTTATTTTAGTGACTAATTAAAGGCATGAAACACTGACTAGTAAAATTAACAGGATATGATATAGAAAATTAGACGAGTATAAGCACAATCACACAATTCTACTTCCAAAATTTAAAAGGGAAGATATTAGGATTATAGAGTGATAATCGATTCTGTTTTTCCCCCCTTGAAACAAGAAAAACTTAAAAGTTAAGATTATATATTCTCACAAACTTCATGCCTAACTTTATAAAAACAGATTAATGCTCGCATTCTAGAATGAAAAAACCCAAGAGCTGAATTTTTAAATAGTATACTTAAAAAGGGAACAATTGAATTATTAAGTACCTTGCTCAAACACACTTCACCTGTCTAAGAAATTTTGAGACAATCAATCATTCAGGTTTGCAGAATACCAAATGCATTTTTCTAAATGTCACAAAAAGGCCGAGCAGAGTTTCTCCAAGGACACTCCAACTTTAGAATGTTAACCGTGGAGATAGATTAAGCTGTCTGTGAGAAAGGAGAACAGAAATATGCTACCTTAAGATGTTAAAGAGAAAGGTCAATATAAAGCCTGACGAATGTTGAAAATGTAACACAGAACAAAAAAAGAATACACTGTATAAAGAAACGATAAGAAAATTCATGTATATTAACAATTTAAAATCTCTTTGAAAAGGAACTATTTGATTATTCTTTATGTTCTTTATCAAAACAATAACTAATTTTTTTGTAAAAGAGTACTAGTATAGTTTTGCTTTATTTAAAAAAATTCTTGGGCTTCTCTGGTGGCGCAGTGGTTGAGAGTCCGCCCTGCCGATGCAGGGGACGTGGGTTCATGCCCCGGTCCGGGAAGATCCCACATGCCGCGGAGCAGCTGGTCCCGTGAGCCATGGCCGCTGAGCCTACGCGTCCGGAGCCTGTGCTCCGCAACGGGAGAGGCCGCAACAGTGAGAGGCCTGCGTACAGCAAAAAAAAAAAAAAAAAAAAAAAAAATTCTTTAAGCTAGCTGGCTACATAACACATTATAAAATTTGAGCTAAATAATTTTAACCTTTGTTAACATCACCCTATTATAGTGTTAGTAAAAATTGAGACTAATTTTTTTTACAGTTTATTCTTTTAACTAATTTTATATGATAGAACAGCTAGCTGTACATTCAATCTTGAATATATAGGGGAATACATAGCCAATAGGAAAATAATTGTGAAAGCAAAATCAGCATGTGTTATGTTTTAAAGAGTGTTATAGAATGTTTAACAGCTTGCACTATTGAACATTAAAGTTTTATTCCTAAAGTAGGGACAATATAAAGCTAGCACTTCCAAGAAAATTCAGAAGAAAGTTGCTAAGAACACAGTATTGATTTAATAACAAGCAATTGGTCTTAGGTGTATTACTCAGCACCATTACTTTCTCTGTTCAAACAACCAAAACTAAACAAATCAAGTGCAATGCTATTTATTTTTTGTTGATTTTCACAGGTGATCCTTTGATGTTGAGTTTGTCCACAAAAACATCTGATCTTCTTCCACGTTCAATGGCTGGACTTTGATGGAGTTTCTCCCTGAGAAATATACATGTGAACATTAATACCATTTTTTAAATGGTCATTAAAAAAAAATCAATACAAACATGATACAAACCACTGTAATTTAAGGTGAGTTTTATCTTAAAGGTTCCTTAATAGCTTTGAAAAACATATGGCAGACTATTTCACTTAACATTTAAGAAAGCAACAGCTGCTTTCCTGAGATAGATTTAACTGTTTACCGTTGAACCATGCTGTCCAACATGGTAGCCACTAGCCACATCATTTACATTTAAATTAATTAAAATAAAATAAAATTTAAAAATTCAGTTCCTCAGCTTCATTGTTTACATTTCAAGTGTGATTCAATAGCCACATGGGGCTACTGGCTACCATATTGGACAGTACAGATGCATAACATTTTCGTCAATGCAAAAAATCATTTCAGAAAGTTCTATTGGACAGTGCTGGTTTACAGAAAATGCCACTGATAGGCCATAAATGTATAGATCATCTATAAAGAGCATGCTTTTCTCTAACTGGGACCTGGATTTCATAGTCAAACTTAGCACTGTTAGGTTTTTATCAATAAACTTTTCAAAGTGAGACAAATATTATCTAAAATTAATATGAGAGCAAGATTTCTAAAGAAAACATTGGGGCTCTAAATTCCTAAACAAGTATTTTAAAATAAAAGATGCTAGCACATGAAATTCTGCACAAGTCTTCTAATTTACTTGGTACCCACTTGTCAACCGCTGGTTCTGGGAAGGCTTCCACCTTCTGCAGCAATTCTCCACTCTCTTAGAGCCTAGAACAGATTTCTGTTTTCAGGCCTGCTGAGCCCTCTCTCTCTCGAGTCTAATTTTCAATAGGAATTAGGTAGTGTTTTCAATTATTCCCCCAGAGTATCAAATAAAATTGTAACTCTAGAATATATACTAAATGTGTCACAATCTCTATAATCTCTATAAAAGTGTGGTATTAGCACGTTCATATTTCGCAGCTATTCCAAACGGTAATTCCAAAGGAGGCTAAAGTTTTTGCAAAACTCTTCCAAAATATTTGATATCTAATACAGATACTGTTACATACTATACAAGGGTCTAAAAATCTTTTTACCATTAAATGCTCAATTTTGACTTGTTAGGGAAGTTTTGTTCAGCCTTTTAGCTACAGTTCCTCTCCCCTTACCATATCCCTAAACACCAGTATCTTTACCTGGTACAAAATGTATGACTCCTACTCTATCCAGATGAAAATCTGTTTCACAAGAATAACTGCATTATAGTATATTGCTTTACCTTAGGAGGATTTTAGCCCCATTGTCTAAAGCATAATTTACTAGTGAGGTACTAGTCTTATAATCCTAAAATACTATTGGTTTTCAGATACAAATTTAAATGTGTGTTGGAATACTCAGAAATAGTATAAAGTTATTACATCTTTCACAAAAGATATTATTGATACAAACAACTTGGATGTTAATCAAAACTTCCTGATAACAGAGGTAAAATTACATAACTTCTCTTCTAATTTGTCTTTAAAAAACACAGCTTAGTTTAGAAATAACTTTTACCTTCTTTTAAGTTCTCGGGATCCTGAATTCTCATGACCAATGCTTCGCATCCTAGAGTTTTCTAGATTGTGCCATTGTCCCCTTGGTTGGTACTTCAGAACCTCATTTTGCCACTCATCATCAAAAGCATGAGCATCACCTACATCCAATATCAAAATAAAGGGGTAAGTATTAAGGTATCAGCTGTCAGTAATTGCCTGCTCCCCACACATTTCACTCTAGCCTGGTGTTTCCATTAGCCTAACCTTAAAGTAGAAGCAGGAAACTGCTTCAGATAAAAAGGTCTTTGACTCAGAGTAATATTTCCTTTTCTCTTTGTTCCTCTCCTATTCCTGTTGATAATTTGGTTATGGATGATCTGGTTTTTCACACACCTGCCTGGATATCACATTACTTATCCAATGGACTCCATGACCCAGCGACACTAACAGGCTTTCTTCCTGGGTCATCTCATGGGGATGCTACTCTTCCTCTTACTGGGAGGACACTCCTCCTGTGCCTAGCACTTCCTGTCCTCAGTTTGGCCTCACAAGCTTCTTTTTCAATTTCCTGAGACAGGTAACTCATCTGACTGTTCATGTTATGAAGTAGGTAATCTAAATTCCATAATAACAATAAGTAAATGATAATACGTGTTCTTTCAGATTGCCTTTATAATAATGTGTTACTTTACTAAAATTTTCTTCAGTATGTTCATTATTGTGAAGTACTCTGTATATATTTAAATATGACCAAATTACAAAGGTTAAAATTAAAGAGAGGTTAAGATGTTGTGGCTTCCATCTCATTGCCTAAGAATAATTTTATCCAGCTCCAACCTTAAGAGAATTTCTTTTTCTAAAATCATATAATTTAAACCCTTTACTATGATAAAACATTTTTATTCAAAATACTTTCTAAAAACAGGAAATGAATACAGCTTAAAAACTATAATGAAAAAAGTTAGGAAGTCTTAAATGAGTTGAAGAATGAATATAAAATCTAAGAAATGGAAAGATTTGCTTGATATATATGTGATTTATTATCTAACACACCAGAAATTTAAATCTTATCTATACAAAAGCCTAAGTGCCCCACAATACAGAATAGTTGAAATAAATTATGGCCAATTCATGATAAAACTTTTAGGTAACCTTCTAGGATGTTTCTGAAAACTAACATCATAGATGACTGTTCACAATTATAGTGGGGAATTAAAATAAGCACAATATAAACTATATAGATAGTAAAATACAAATTTTGAAAAGCAGTATGTGTGATTGTATGTTTATATATATCAATATATAAAACTATTAGGAAGAAATACACTAAAACATTAAGAGTAGTTATTTTGGGTTGGAGTTATGAATAATTTTAATTTTCTTTATACTTTTCTAATGTACTTCTTTGATATCAGAAATAAATAAAAACTCGATTTCCTACTGATAGTCTTACTAAAAAATAATTCAAAAGATTCCATTTTCCAAGTATAAAACAAAAAAAAATGATACTCAACATTAACAAAAATCACTATAAAAAACAGACCTACAATGAAACCCTGAAACCACAATTTTATTACTATTTTGATAACGTATTCTCTACATTTACAATTCATAAACTGTCTGAAACAACATCATATAAAATGTTTCTATAAAAAATATTCACCAAGTTCTATGGGTACAGCTGCTATTTTAACTTTGAGAGGAAGAATGCTATTTTCTCTGATAACTTACTTTCATTCATATTGATGAACTCTTGATTGACCTCTTCATCTCCAGTCTTCTTGTTCTTTGACTTTTTAATGACATGAGCTCGGTCACGGAGGTGATGACCAACAGCCATTTTTTCTAGTCCACTCTCAGAATCTCTCAGTGCTCTCCTAGTTTCCTTTACCTGTGAAAATGATGAAAATAAAAATTAGTAATTATTTAAATAAATATAGACTATAAACTCCTCAGAACCTGTTTACCTATAGAGGTAAGAATATAAATCTACTGCTCTAAAAATAATGGGTACTCAGGTCCACTACCAACTTGTAGTAAAATTATGGTAATAGTTCTCTGATATTTCCTGAACTGCTTACAATTAAAATGTCTAGGACAAACAGAACCAATATAATTATTAAAACAAAGAATAACTTAATTATATTAAACTTAGTGGCTTCAACACTGTCCTTGACAATTAATAGATGGGAGTACATACTAGCATTCCTACAAGAAAGGGCACCTAATTATTCAGCACTCATGAAATGACTTATATATTCTATTTTCATTTAAGTCACCCGTCAGACAGGCAAACCCAAATTTTCTTTACTATAAGTACTAACAAGGAAGTCGAGAAATGGGAACTCATACCAAAGTCTGTGGGAGCTAACTGTCTCAATTACTGTGTGATAACAACTTGGTGATTTCTAGGAAAGGATGAAGACACACGTCTCCTCCGATCCAACAATAGCATTCCTAGCCCTTTTGCACGAGGAGACAGGTATAAAGATGAATAGGTGAAAAATTATAAACACCTAAATATCTATAAGTAGAAAAATAGATTAAAAAACTGTGGTATAGGGCTTCCCTGGTGGCGCAGTGGTTGGGAGTCCGCCGGCTGATGCCCGGGTTCGTGCCCCGATCCAGGAGGATCCCACATGCCGCGGAGCGGCTGGGCCCGTGAGCCATGGCCGCTGAGCCTGTGCGTCTGGAGCCTGTGCTCCGCAACGGGAGAGGCCACAACAGTGAGAGGCCCGCGTACGGCAAAAAACAAAAAACAAAAAACTGTGGTATATTCATATTTTAGACATTTATATAGAAGTTAAAATAAGAAACCAGAGCTACACGATTATCAACTTGAATAAATCTCAGAAGCAATTACTGAGCAAAGTCAACCTGCAGAGGACACGTGCAGTATGAAACCATTTATACAAAGTTTAGAAACCTGTAAAATAATTCACTGTATTGTATATGAAGCATACATAAGTAATAAAATTATAAAAGCATGCATGAAAATGATAAATTTCAGGTACAGGCATACCTTAGAGATACTGCGGGATCTGTTCTGGACCACCGCAATGAAGGGAATATTGCAATAAAGTGAGTCACATGAATTTTTTGGTTTCTCAGTACACATAAAAGTTATGTTTATACTATACTGTAGTTATTAAGTGTGCAGTAGCACTATGTCTAAAAATGCAATGTACATACCTTAATTTAATAACACTGTATTGCTAAAAATTGCTATCATCTGACAACACAGGGTTGCCACAAACCTTTAGTTTGTTAAAAACACAATTTATCTGTGAAGTGCAATAAAGTGAAGCCCAATAAAACGAGGTATGCCTGTATAAGAAAATGGTTGTCTTTGGGGGACGGAGAAAGGGAAAAGGAGGAGGAGGCAGGAGTATATTGGAAGCTCTAACTGAATCTGTAACATCTTTGCTTAAAAAGGAAGCAAAACAAGAGACAACTTAAATAGAGAAAAGTATTAATGATTTGACTAAACTGGATTGAAGGAGTATGGGGTACTTATATTATTCTTTATGTCCTTTCTGTATACTTGAAATATTTTATGAGTTAAAAAATTCATTTACTTCAAATAGAAACTAAAAGTAGACATTTATTTCATGAAACAAAGACTTCTTATAGTGTCTACTTACTTTGTCAACATGTAAAGCTAATAAACATCCATGGATATTAACATGAAAAAAGGCACCTGGGGCAGGGATGGAGGTAGGTGGGGGAGACAAAGAATGCCTCAAAATAAATAAATAAATACAGTTAGTTTTATTGCTTTTCACACTGACCTGTGTTTTCTCCCCCCATCCCTTCCCCTGACCAGTACCAGGTCAAATTTTAATAGTTAAAATTTGATATAGGTGATCTATGATTCCACAACTTTATAAAGTTCCAAGAAAATACTTACTCCTCCTGGAGCCCTGCGGGTTTGAGCTGAGGCCTGGAAAACCTTTGGTGGTTCATCTCCTACTTTGGAATAAGTCATAACTGAGGAAGAACTAAACGAATGTCCATTTGGATCCGTTGAAAGGTGACCCTAGAGGTAAATATAAATTGTAAATCCAGTGAGTTCAGTCAAATACGAAGAAATAATGTCAGAGGATTCAAATAAAGTAACAACACTAGCTAGAAGTTCTACTAAAGATAGTACATATGATCAGTATGATGTCCAAATGGTACCCCCATGAAGGCCCTAACCTCCTTCCATTTTAGGTACCAATTCACACTCTCCTTGTAAGGAATAATAAATAACAAGTGATTCATTTAGAAATCCTCAAATCTTTGAGGTCAAAGACTTGTGGCTTAAATTTATAGATGCCGTGCCCTGAAGCATGTAACACTTTTATAGTCAGTGGTTGACTTTTGTGTGCAATTTTGCCAATGTTGAGCCAATTAGCCATATGCCAAGAATTTTTATACCTTCTGTGGGTACCAACTGCTACATTTCTAAAACCATTAATAATGTCCTAGATTTGGACATTCTGAAATGATCCTTAGATTTCAAACTGCATGACTAAAATAATATGGGTGGTCTTCATACTGAATCAAGTTATTTTGATTAATATCATGAGTAGAAAAGTAAGAGTATTAGTACTAGTTTATAAGTGTTTGGACTGTATGAATCTAATCCAGTGCCTAAACATCATTCCTGAAATTTCTATTTTCAGAGTTATTTTTTAACGCTAAAACTTAATTTCTTAGATGCTACAAATCTTTTTAAGTAGGCAAGTTATACATAATAAAAAAATCTAAATTCATATAAAACATTCATTTACAATAGTGATCTTCAGCAGAATAAATGTTTTTGAAGTTGAATGTTTTTATTTTGAAAGTTTAATTAACGCTGTTTTTCAAACTTGCAGGTTCTGAAATCATTTTGGTAGGTTGTGACCAGGATTTTTAAAATATGAAGTAAAATAGAAAATATCAGCACATGCTGTACACAGTATGATTATTTTCTCATGAAATTTTTATTTCAGGTGTAAAATATATACAGTACACAAGTACTGTCATGATGTAAGATATATTTTTCAATCACTGTGGACCATGGTTAGAAAAAGGTTGAAAGCCACTATAATATAGGATACCAATAACTGAAAATAACATTCTCAGCAATCTTTTAGTACTTACAAAGTTTCTTTGTAATTCCTGCATACTGTTTCGCATATTTAACATCATTCGGTCCATTGCCTGAAAAGGGTTGACATCTGTACGCTATAGGATATTAGGAAGTATGTTATTAACTATAAGCACAACACAAAGGAAGCAAATCAACATTCCCAAAACAGCTGAAATTTTTTTTTTTGATTTTTGCTGTGGGGTCTCATGCAGTGATCGACCAGGCAAAGATAATTTAAGGACTATATAATGAAAGTGATTTGTTAAAGAAGAATTTGAAGTATACACAAAATCCTAAACAGCCAACATACAAATGGTTAGGGAGTTGTAACACTATAAATACATGCATACATACATGTGTATATATCCACACATATATACATGCAAGAACATATAAATACACACACACATAAAATTCAACTTGCTCATAACATAATCTGGTTAATATTTAAATACTGAGTGGTGTATCCTTGGCTGTGGGACAGCTCTAGCATAGACTAGTCTTCCAATTTTTTCTTCTTCCTTCTGGATATCCTACCAGGCAAATAAATAAAACCCGAGTATAAGATGACAGTGTTCCTTCCAGCAGTCCAACATGGATAATAGAAGCTGCCTCTGGAGTAATCAGCCCTCCTTTCCATCAGACTTGGACCCAAGTGATATAGGTTGATTCCACTAACAGTCCTTGGATTTGCTGCCTACCACTGCCGGCTCAGTAGGGCATACCCTTGAAGCATGAGGTATGCTCCTTTATTTATTTTATTTATTTATTTATTTTAATAGACCTTTATTGCAGTATAATTGTTTCACAATACTGTGTTAGTTTCTGCTGTACAACAAAGCGAATCAGCCACATGCATACATATATCCCCATACCCCTCCCTCTTAAGCCTCCCTCCCACCCCCCCATCCCACCCCTCTAGGTCATTGCAAAGCATTGAGCTGATCTCCCTGTGCTATGCTGCTGCTTCCCACTAGCTATCTATTTTACATTTGGTAGTGTACAAATGTTGATGCTACTCTCACTTCGCTCCAGCTTTCCCCTCCCACCTCGTGTCCTCAAGTCCATTCTCTATATCTACGTCTTTATTCCTGCCCTGCCATTAGGTTCATCAGTACTATTTTTTTTTTTTTTTAGATTCCATATATATGTGTTAGTATACGGTATTTGTTTTTCTCTTTCTGACTTACTTCACTCTGTATGACAGACTCTAGGTCTATCCACCTCACTACAAGTAAGTCAATTTCGTTTCTTTTTATGGCTGAGTAATATTCCACTGTATATATGTGCCACATCCTCTTTATCCATTCATCTATCGATGGACGTTTAGGTTGCTTCCATGTCCTGGCTATTGTAAATAGTACTGCAATGAGCACTGTGGTACATGTCTCTTTTTGAATTATGGTTTTCTCAGGGTATATGCCCAGTAGTGGGATTGCTGGGTCAAATGGTAATTCTATTTTTAGTTTTTTAAGGAACCTCCATACTATTCTCCATAGTGGTTGTATCAATTTACATTCCCACCAACAGTGTAGGAGGGTTCCCTTTTCACCACACCCTTTCCAGCATTTATTGTTTCTAGATTTTTTGACAATGGCTATTCTGATCAGTGTGAGGTGATACCTCATTGCAGTTTTGATTTGCATTTCTCTAATAATTAGGTGATGTTGAGCAACTTTTCATGTGCCTCTTGGCCATCTGTATGTCTTCTTTGGTAAAATGTCTATTTAGGTCTTCCACCCATTTTTTAATTGGATTGTTTTTTGATATGGAGTTCCATGAGCTGTTTGTATATTTTGGAGATTAATCCTTTGTTTGTTGTTTCATTTGCAAATGTTTTCTCCCATTCTGAGGGTTGTCTTTTGGTCTTGTTTATGGTTTCCTTTGCTGTGCAAAAGCTTTTAAGTTTAATTAGGTGCCATTTGTTTATTTTTGTTTTTATTTTCATTACTCTAGGAGGTGGGTCAGAAAAGACCTTGCTGTGGTTTATGTCAAACCACATATATGGTTTGTGTTTTCCTATGTTTTCCTCTAAGAGTTTTATAGTGTCTTGTCTTACATTTAGGTCTTTAATCCATTTGAAGATTATTTTTGTGTATGGTGTTAGGGAATACTCTAATTTCATTCTTTTACATGTAGCTGTCCAGTTTTCCCAGCACCACTTATTGAAGAGGCTGTCTTTTCTCCATTGTATGTTCTTGCCTTCTTTGTCATAAATTAGGTGACCATATGTGCGTGGGTTTACCTCTGGGCTTTGTATCTTGTACCATTGATCTATATTTCTGTTTTTGTGCCAGTACCATACTGTCTTGATTACTATAGCTTTGTAGTATAGTTTGAAGCTGGGGAGCCTGATGCCTCCAGAGGTATGCTCCTTTAGAAGAACAGTTAGGAATTCCTCCAGAACAGTAGTTTCTTAGCCAGGAGTGATTTTGATCCCAGGGGGACATTTGGCAATAATTATACTCATTTTTGTTTGTCACAGCTGGGGAGGGTATATGACCGGCATCTAGTGGTAGAGGCAAGGGATTCTGCTAAACATCCTACAAAGCATAGGACAGCTCCCCAGAACAAGAATTATCCAGCCCAACGTGAAAGTAGTGGTGTCAAGGCTGCAAAACTCTGCTCTAGAAAGATCTGCTATTGATTTTAGGTTTTATCACTGGAACAATCACCAGGAATCAAAAAGTGAAGCACATATTCTAGTGTGTCATCCAAAGCATCATCTACTATTATAAGGAGTGTTTAGTTCAAGGGACTCCCCTGCTCAAGCAGGAGGAGTGTTTTGAATCCTGTAAGGCACTGTTATTCAATGCTGGTACTTCAGCCCGTCTGGATATTCTTTTGCTTTGTGCCAAGCTGGGACTCAGTAAAGAATCATCAAAGGCCTGTTTATGTCTCTGCCTTCTACTGGGTTTTTATTGCTAGTTACAATAGGAAATAGATGAAAAAGGCAAATTCCTTTTTAGAATCTGCACTTAGCACAGTAGGGAACAACAAAGACACATTTAGGAGATATTGATACATCTCTAGGATGCAAAGGACTACAATAGAATTAATCTTCATTTCAGAGATTCAACACAATTCAGGAAATGTGAATTTTTTGCTTCAACATTAGGTTGAGAATCAAGGCTGTATAAGAGAGAACAATTCAAGAGGGATAGAAGGGCTGGCCTAAGGAAGGAGAGGAGGAGGAGGAGAAAAAGATCTGATGTTTGGGGCATATTCTGTCTCTTCTCAATTCACTATCAAATCAGCCATCAAAAGGTGTATCTGGGGCCTCCCTGGTGGCACGGTGGTTGAGAGTCCGCCTGCCGATGCAGGGGACGCGGGTTCGTGCCCCGGTCGGGGAGGATCCCACGTGCTGAGGTGGGCCTGTACGTCCGGAGCCTGTGCTCCGCAGTGGGAGGGGCCACAGCAGTGAGAGGCCCGCGTACAGCAAAAAAACCCCCAAAACAAACAAACAAAAAAAGATGTATCTGTACTTGCTATGGGGTGGCCCAACGCCTTGACAAAAAAGTGGAGCTACAAATTAGAGTGGAGATTCCAGTGGGCTTTTGAGGCCTTCAGGAACTCTGTACAGCGGCTCTTCTCTGCCTAGAATGTTTTCTCCTGACTCTCAGTATAGTTTCTTCTAATCATTCAAGTATCACCTCCTTAAGAAGCCCACCTGTCTAAACTAATCTCTGGCTCACATCCACCTGTCACTATATCATTACTCCATCTCCTTCAGAGTACTTTGACGATCTGAAATTATTTTGTCGTTTATTGTCTGTCTTCCCACTCTGTAAAAATAATCTCTGTGAAGGCAGGGCTATATTCTCTGTCTTACTCACTACTATATTCCCAATACTTTAAAAACAACTCCTGGCACATAGAAGGGCTCAATAAATATTTGCTGAATGAATGAACTAATTATCTCTAATTAGTTAACTAATTAGCTCAGCTCAAACCCATAATATCCAACTGTTTACCAGATAAATCCCACCTGGACGGCCCACAGATGCCTCAGATGCAAAACACCCAGAATTGAAATGACCTTTCTGAACACCCCTGCCCTCATATCTGCACTGCATCAATGCTCTGTTCCTAGCTCAGTGGCATTCCCATCTACCTAATTCCTCATGGCACAAAAATAAGCATAATACTTTCCTTCTCCCTCTCTACTGATCCATCAATCCAATTTATCACCAAGTTCTATCCATTCACCTATTTAACTCTTTCTCAAAGGAGATTATTCCTCTTTATCACCACAGCTATTACCTGAGTAGAAGCTATCACTAATACTTCCCAGAATACTTGATCAGCCTCCTAGCCTCCCTGCCTCCACTGTGATCCCTTCTAATCTCTCTCCTCCCTGCAGGCACAATGATCTTTAAAAAATGAGAACTCGGGGGCTTCCCTGGTGGCACAGTGGTTGAGAGTCCGCCTGCCGATGCAGGGGACTCGGGTTCGTGCCCCGGTCCGGGAAGATCCCACATGCCGCGGAGCGGCTGGGCGCGTGAGCCATGGCCGCTGAGCCTGCGTGTCCGGAGCCCGTGCTCCGCAATGGGAGAGGCCACAACAGTGAGAGGCCCGCGTACCATAAAAAAAAAAAAAAAAAAAAAAGAAAGAACCTGATTCTACTACTGTTTTGATGAAAATTCATCAATTGCTCCCCTGCTCTTAAGATAATGTCCACAATCCTTACCAGGGCCAGAGGAAGTCCCCCTGGTTACCTCTCCATCCTCATCTATACACACTCTCCAACTCACATCCTAGGGCCAAATGACCCTAAACATCTTTGGGCTCCCTAGCCTCTAGGTTTTTGCACAAGCTGTTTCCTCTGTGTTGAACACTCTTCTTCTCCCCTCCCAGATTTTCCTGGCTAATTCCTATTAATCCTTAAGGTTCAGGAAGTGTTCTCTAGTTGACCTCCACTCCACCATCCCAAAAGGTCTGGGCTACAGGCTTTTTTCTGCCTGTGCTCTCACAGCATGCTGAACTTCCTGATCATTTTTACTGATAACTCTGTTCTATAGCTGTTTTTTTTTCCTTCATCACTTGTCCCACTAAAAACTCTGGTCAGGAAGGCCAAATGTTATATGTCAAACTT